CGGACGAACCGGAACCGTGAAGTCACGTGGTGCCTCGCTTCGGATGACGAAACTTCCGGCTCAAACGCCGGTCACCTATTGTTAAGCGGGCGTTGGTTTTTAAAAGCCGGGGATCTTGAAGATGTGTGACAAAACGCGGGGGTTTGCGGCAGGGGTATGGAAACGGGGCTTTCGGATTTGGATTATTTCTTAAACTAATCATGGAATGGGGCAGAATCGTAAATGTCGGCGAGGAGCACTTTATTCTGTCAGGAAGACCCGGCTTGCTTTTGTAAGTAAACGACCGTTGAAACAGATAACATACATACACTGGATTCTCCAGTAGCTTCGAAAAGCTACGTTACGTTCTCCGCTCAAACCGTGACATTGAACTTTAAAAATACGTGGAACAGAAAAAACGATCAGATAGAAAAGCTACACAGACTGAGTGTATCTCTGTTTCACCATAACTTGGTAAACGGCGAAAGCTACGATCCCCGTTGGCCAATCAGAGCAAGGGAGCGACGCACGAGACAGCTCTTCGTGGGAGGATCGTGTTTCTATGGCACATCGTCAAGTGCTTTGCTCCGATGCCCCGATTGGCTCACGATGGTCGTAGCTTTATATCCTGTCTTCAAAGGACTGGCTCTCACAACGCTTCAGCGAGCACTTAACCCCTCGCCTTGTCCTGTGCGGAAGGTACTCCGTGATAATGGTTTTGTCCGGTTCGACATTCTGAAAATATACAATGACACTTTTGTGAGCTGCTTGGAGATGTCTTCGGGGTAATCCGAGAAGTCAGACATACTGCTTTGGTACAAGATTATGTTCTGTATACCCAGGGATGGACCACACCGGACGCTGCAAGTCGTTCCAGCCAATGCAGCGCTGCGAGCGCTTCATAGCCAATGCAGCGCTGCGAGCGCTTCATTTGGCCTCGTGCCACACTCAGCGCATGTCACGTGTCACACACTCGGAACTGATTTACCTCCGATGGCTCGTAGCGTCCGCTGCGGTCCATTTTAAGATAGAACGGATCGTAACAGAATACGCTGCTTTGTGTTTGCGAATAATGGATCGCTTAGAGTGGTTCATTGGTAAATCCTGCTTGAGCTCGCAAACTCTGGACACAATAAAACTATGTGGCGTAGAAATAAAAGCTTGTGAAAATGTCGGTATCGTTTTTCTTTTTTTACTTGTAACTTTTGTTATTGCTTGGGACCGAGTTCGGCCCTGGAAGCTGTTTGCCGCACTGTAAATTTGTCCAGTTATTAGTGAGTGTAATGATATTTATGTAGGTGATAGGCCCTCTTGGGAAGAACATATTAGAAATAGTTCAATGCTATATCTTGAAGACAATGCCAGATAACAACTCACAAATATTGGGTAAAAATGTCAAAGTTGCCTAGTTCGTGTATTTCGAAGCGCTGCATTTCGCATGGAGACAAAATAATGGAACACCACGCGATATAGTGTAAAATATTTTCCTCGAGAAAAAAAAAGAAAAACGAAGTTTTTTTTTAATTGCACGTTGAAGTTGGGGAACTTTTCACATTGAAGCACGTTTGAAGCGTTGTAAATATTTTCAGTAATAAAACTCGAGTAAAAAAATATTTTTAGATGATTTACCGTTCCGGAAAGAATATACAAAAAATACAACGCTATATCTAGAAAATATTAGGAGATATGCACTCCTAAACATCAGATACAAATATCAAAGTTACACGCACGCACACACGCACGAAGGTACACAATAACCTGAAAGCCGAATGCAGTGGCTGATGTACGAGTAGTGATCAAACTGTTTCTGCGGTTGACATCATGGGACGTCGCGTTCATGTGGGAGCTCTAAAGGTTGGGTGATCAAAAATGCACAATCATGACAATCAGAGCACATATCTCCAACATTTTTTACCCTCAACAACCTTCTCTCCCCCCCCCCTTTTTTTTCTCGCTCAGAAAAAAAGAAAAGAAAAAGAAGGGAGATCATTTAATGGTGCGACTTTTGCCGACGGTGCACGCGCGCAAAAGTACATGTCAATCGCAAAAGTGTTATTTACAAGATAAAGTACACAGGAAAGTGATTGTCGCTTTAGATGTCATTATAATTGGTTTTAGTAGTGCACCCATACAGTAGCCTAACAACATAGTTTTAACCCAACTACGTGAAAACGATCAGTTCTTTTGTTGACCCGTTCAAGACTGGCAGTTGTTGAAATATTTTAGCAAAGCGAAAACCGGGTATCGGCGCAAATGATAATCTATACGCAAACCCGAGCCCCTGAGACTTCAACAGTGCCTCCGGTATATGTGTGCGTGTGTTCACCTCGATTAGAGAAGTCATTCCAGATATAGTCACGGCAGTCCGGAAAGTCGAAGTGCTTCCGTCGCATTCCAATTAATGCTCGGAGCCTTTATTCTTGGCTGTAGGTATAGGTTAGGTTAGCTCACACCTCACGTGTGAACCTAAGAACAAACGATTCCGTCAAAGCATTTTATGCTGCACAGGTTACGCCACCTCAGCTTATCGGATATCAGTGATACATTACAATAGACTTGAGTAGCTCTTGCTGTGTTGCAACTCACAAGCACAAGAAGAGAATTAAATAAAAAAATATTATCTTCTTTTTTTATTAAAAACGAGCTTGCGAGAGCACGGTTATGGTCTCATCTCATATGTTGCGCCGTAGTACAGCATGGCGACACCACTGATTCAGATACTTTGGAGTTACTAGCGCATCGTAAAACCTTGTTGTCATCGGCGGCTTCCTGAACAAGGTTGCGGCATGACAGTAATATATTATATTGCGCCTACATTGCACTGTTTGCAACACCAGACTGATTTTTCATTATCGACAAGCAACCCAGGCAGCACGCGGTGTTGGGCCAATATTGGAAGAGTACTGGCAAAGAAAGGTCCAATGATGGTCCACTTTAGCCAATCTGTTCCCAATATTGGCTATGCCATTATGTGGAGTCTTCAATATTGGCCCAGCTTATCCACTGACCAACCAATATTGGAAGTACAATGGCATAAAATGGACAATATTCGCCTGTCAGTTCCACTGGCTTGCGAATATTGGATGAACACTGGTATAAAATGGGCAACATTGGCCTCTCAGTTCCGTTGGCTTGCGAATATTGGATGAACACTGGCATAAAATGGGCAATATTGGTCTGTCAGTTCCGTTGGCTTGTGAATATTGAAAGAACATTGGCATAAAATGGATAATATTGGCCTGTCATTTCCATTGGCTTGAGAATATTAGATGAACACCGGCAAAAAATGGGCAATATTGGCCTTTTATGTGCCTTTGGCTTGCTAACATTGGATGAACACTGGAATAAAATGATGAACGTTGGCCTGTCAGCCACGCCGCAGTCGGCATCTTTGAACATCTGCAAAATTGAAGTAATTGTATAGTGCAAATAATGTTACGTTTCGTAAAATAAATATAATACGAACGGAAAAAAAATATTTGTAGCATATATACGAGCGTGTGTGATGAGTTTTGTTTTTGTGAGTCAAATTTAAAAACCGATACTAGACCACTATAAAACAATGGCGTAAAATTTTGTTGGTATTCCGTCCAATTTTGGGATCGTCTTTCGTGTGATATTTCGCACATCCTTTGACCAGACGCTTTGTTCCAACTAAAGAACCCACGATCCAACCAACAAGATCCCCAACGAGGTTTCGTTTTAATTTCGCTATCTTTCTACAAAATGGCTAGACCTCTAACTACGCATCCGATTCCAATCCACAATCCAGTATTGTTTCTACCACGTGTAAAGAGTTACAGTAGACAGCGCGTCGGCAGCTCCGTCGGCTCCGTTTGTTTAGATATGAGCTCCAAGTGGTCTAAGTACCGTGTCGTGAAGAAGGATTATGACGAGATCCTGGCCGAGCTCGGCTGCTCGCGGCAGACGACCGTGCCTCCTCCGTTTGACCCGCCGAGGCCGCCAAACACCAAGAGACGTCGAGGGGAAGCATTTCCAGACGACGCTTGCGCTGGTGGCAGCAGGCAAGAGCCGTTCAGTGTCGAACGTCGAGGGGAAGCATTTCCAGACGACGCTTGCGCTGGTGGCAGCAGGCAAGAGTCGTTCAGTGTCGAACGTCGAGGCGAAGCATTGCCAGGCGACGCTTGCGCTGGTGGCAGCAGGCAAGAGTCGTTCAGTGTTGATCGCGACGAAGAGCTGCAACCTACGCAGGCTGGTCCAGGTGACGAGGAGGACACCTCGGAGAGCAGCTCAAGTGACAACAGTGCTGTGCAGCGGTCTAGCGGTGACCCCGTGACCTCCGACTCCTCAACTGAGCCCAGCGTAGACCCTGCGCAGGTCGGAGGACAGTCCAGTCCCGCTCAAGTCTCTTCTTGTGCTCCTCCCGAACACTCACTTTCGGCACGCGAAGAATTCGCCCACATCGCCGAGAAGCATAACCTGACACACGCAAGCGTGAACGACGTGCTGGATTTCTGCCGGCGCAGAGGCATCTCTGACCTTCCAAAAGACGCGAGAACCCTCATGCAGACAGAACGCAAGGCTCAACTGGACTCCAGTGGCTCATTTGTGCACTTTGGACTTGCTGAAGGCATCCGCCAAGCGTTGGGGCCCGGTCCTGTTCCGCGGGAGCTAAAGCTGCAAGGAAACATTGACGGTCTCCCTTTGTTTAAGAGCAGCCAGATCGGTTTTTGGCCCATACTGTGCCGAATCACCAATATTCAAGCATCAGTTCCGTTTATGGTCAGCGTCTACTGTGGTGCAGGAAAGCCGCCAAACCTTCAAGAGTACCTGCATCCGTTCTTGGAAGAGGTCGTCGAGCTGTCCTGCAGTGGGATGGTGCACAAGGGTGTCCATGTGGATGTGAAACTAACTGCAATGATCTGCGATGCCCCTGCAAGAAGCTATGTGAAGGCTACAATCGGGCACACCGGCAACCATGCCTGTGAACGTTGCAACCAGAAGGGGCAACGCATTGAAGGAAGACAGGTATTTCCAGACCTGCACGCAGCCGAGCGCACAGATGACTCTTTTCGGTCGCAGGATGATCCTCGCCATCATACCGGTCTGTCTCCCTTCACGTCGCTTGACGTGGACATGATTGCATTGTTTCCGACTGAATATATGCACCTCGTCTGCCTGGGCGTCATGAAGCGACTGCTTCGAAATTGGGTCAGTCTGGGTCATGGCAAAAGACTGAGCAGAGACCAACGGAGCCGCTTCAATGAAGATCTACGGAAGTCAGCCAAGTCATTTCCAAGCCACTTCCAGCGAAAACCAAGGGGGACAGAGGAGCTTGACCGGTGGAAGGCAACAGAGTTCCGCACCTTTCTCCTTTATGTCGGGCCAGTGGTCCTCAAACATCTCCTCACTGATGAGCACTATGCACATTTTTTGGCTTTTCATGTGGCAATCAGAGTGCTCGTGTCACCAGAGCACCACGTGGTACTCAACCAGTTTGCACGAAACCTTCTCAGGTATTTTGTGCAAGAGTTCGGCGGACTGTATGGGGAAAAGCAGGTGGTGTACAATGTGCATTCCCTCTGCCACCTTGCTGAGCAATGCCTCGACCACGGGCCTCTCGACGGCTTCAGCGCCTTCCCGTTCGAGAGCTACTTAGGAAAGATAAAAAAGAAGCTCCGATCCTCGAACAAGCCACTTTCGCAGCTTAGCAGGAGGGTGTCTGAAATGCGGCACTCTTCTCACATCCAAGTCAAAAGTGTGCAGCATCCTGTCAAGCCAGGGGACTGCTTCATGCTCGCAAAGTCTCCAATCATCGTCCTGGAAATTTTGGGTGACTGCTTCAAGGGATGCATCTTGCCGAACGCAAGAGATTTCTTCAAGGTGCCCCTCAAGTCGTCCGAGCTAGGCATCTGGCGGTGTGACTCTTTTGGGCATACAACTAAAACCTGGCCCCTTGCTGACCTGAAGCATGCAGTTCAGTGTGTGAAAATTGGCTACAAGAAAGGACACATTGTGCTGCCACTTCTGCACCTGCATTGAATGTCGAACAACTTGATAGCATCTTCAGCTGCTGAAGTTTGTCAGCAAGACGAACTGGCTCGCTTGAGCGCAGGTTGCGACGTCTTTCATGCAGTGTCTGTGTCAGGCGTCTTGGGACCGTTGGCTGCTGCGGTCGAAGTTTTTCGAGACGAACTGGCTCACTGCTCGCTTTAGTGCAGGTTGCGACGTCTTCTGTGCGGTGTCTGTGTCAGGCGTCTTGGGACCATTGGTTGCTGCGGTTGAAGTTTTTCGAGACGAACTGGCTCACTGCTCGCTTTAGTGCAGGTTGCGACGTCTTCTGTGCGGTGTCTGTGTCAGGCGTCTTGGGACCATTGGTTGCTGCGGTTGAAGTTTTTCGAGACGAACTGGCTCACTGCTCGCTTTAGTGCAGGTTGCGACGTCTTCTGTGCGGTGTCTGTGTCAGGCGTCTTGGGACCATTGGCTGCTGCGGTTGAAGTTTTTCGAGACGAACTGGCTCACTGCTCGCTTTAGTGCAGGTTGCGACGTCTTCTGTGCGGTGTCTGTGTCAGGCGTCTTGGGACCATTGGTTGCTGCGGTTGAAGTTTTTCGAGACGAACTGGCTCACTGCTCGCTTTAGTGCAGGTTGCGACGTCTTCTGTGCGGTGTCTGTGTCAGGCGTCTTGGGACCATTGGCTGCTGCGGTTGAAGTTTTTCGAGACGAACTGGCTCACTGCTCGCTTTAGTGCAGGTTGCGACGTCTTCTGTGCGGTGTCTGTGTCAGGCGTCTTGGGACCATTGGTTGCTGCGGTTGAAGTTTTTCGAGACGAACTGGCTCCCTGCTCGCTTTAGTGCAGGTTGCGACGTCTTCTGTGCGGTGTCTGTGTCAGGCGTCTTGGGACCATTGGTTGCTGCGGTCGAAGTTTTTCGAGACGAACTGGCTCACTGCTCGCTTTAGTGCAGGTTGCGACGTCTTCTGTGCGGTGTCTGTGTCAGGCGTCTTGGGACCATTGGTTGCTGCGGTTGAAGTTTTTCGAGACGAACTGGCTCACTGCTCGCTTTAGTGCAGGTTGCGACGTCTTCTGTGCGGTGTCTGTGTCAGGCGTCTTGGGACCATTGGTTGCTGCGGTTGAAGTTTTTCGAGACGAACTGGCTCACTGCTCGCTTTAGTGCAGGTTGCGACGTCTTCTGTGCGGTGTCTGTGTCAGGCGTCTTGGGACCATTGGCTGCTGCGGTTGAAGTTTTTCGAGACGAACTGGCTCACTGCTCGCTTTAGTGCAGGTTGCGACGTCTTCTGTGCGGTGTCTGTGTCAGGCGTCTTGGGACCATTGGCTGCTGCAGTTGAAGTTTTTCGAGACGAACTGGCTCACTGCTCGCTTTAGTGCAGGTTGCGACGTCTTCTGTGCGGTGTCTGTGTCAGGCGTCTTGGGACCATTGGTTGCTGCGGTTGAAGTTTTTCGAGACGAACTGGTTCACTGCTCGCTTTAGTGCAGGTTGCGACGTCTTCTGTGCGGTGTCTGTGTCAGGCGTCTTGGGACCATTGGCTGCTGCGGTTGAAGTTTTTCGAGACGAACTGGCTCACTGCTCGCTTTAGTGCAGGTTGCGACGTCTTCTGTGCGGTGTCTGTGTCAGGCGACTTGGGAGCATCATCGGCTGTGACTGGAGTTATCATCGAGAAAACTGGCTCACCTCTGACATTTTTGCAGGCCGCGGCATCTTTCATGTGGTGCCTGTGCCAGATGATTCCTGATGCCTCTTCCTGATGTTCACGTCATTGCCAGATGTGAAGAAGTCACACAACAAAATGGTCCTTTTCAGGGCCCCCAAATTTGTCTTATCGGGAATTTGCATTCGGCACCTGTTGCCCTCCCGTGTCTCTCGTGTCTTGTTGCTTGCATTTATTCGTAATTCCATCTGCTGTGGCATTTTCAGCTCTACTCGCAGTCCGTTCTTTGACCTCTAAAGTAATATCTGATTGCTGCAGTTGTTGCCTGAAGCTTGTTTCATGTTTTGTATGAATCTATTCAATGGCTTAGCCTGTATATGTGCCGAAAGATTGCAGTGTATTTCCTTGCGACTGAAGGAAGTGCCACATTTCTCTTGTTACCTAAATGGGCCATCTGCTCCTACACAACAACACGGCTGAGAAAATAATGCCCTAAAAACGAAAACAGAGTCGTTGACAGGATGAGAATGGATGTCGGATAACCGGCCTCTATACTCCGTTTCACTTTACGTCTGAGCGAAGCAGATGCTACGAGCTGTCCTATCCAATCCCACTCTGTGGAGGTAGTCCGTGATACGCTTTCCGTGCGTTGCTGTGCCCCTTCTCCAAGGTCACGTTACGCTCAAACGGCTTTGGATTGTCTCCAATGGCTTGTAGTATTTGCTGCACCCGGTCGTAAGGTGAAACAGGGTATAGTATGCGCTCGTAATTGCCTTCCAGCATGCTTTGATGGCGAGTGCACGCCTGAGGTTCACGAGACGCCGGAGCGATATCAAAGGCAAGAACTTTGCCCTGCAAGTGGGACCACTGAAACTTCTCCCCAGCGTTTTCCCTGCCTGATGTACAAAAACTTGAAACACAAGAGCACGGCACATATATAGAAATAAACATTATTTAACAGAATGTTATCGCGCAAACGAGCAGGTGAATATTAAACATGATGAACTATAACCTTGAGACTAGGGAGAAAGACGACGATGAAGGAAAGGAAGAAAAGAGCCTCGAAATTCAACGATTTCTAGAACGCAAATTGTTAAGGTGTTTGTTGCGAGACGTGCCATTTCAGAAGAACTGAAGAGAGCGCGTGCACAGCTGTGATTGGCGGTCAAAGTGTCACACTCTCCGTAAATGTCTGTTTCAATGTGAGGCTTCATTGGCACGGAACGAAATTTTAGCCAATGCTATGTTTAGAGTCTGTGCGTATGACGTTGGCTTTGTTTTCTTCTCGCAGCAACGCACATGCGCGTGCTGGGTTGTGATATTTTAATGACATGCTTATATCTGTGCTTATACGTAACTCCAATGCTGATCGCAAGTTTCCTTTAAATTGACGTTTAAGACCTCAGTGAATTTTGATTTTAGCCTACGTGCCAGCCGTGGCGCAATTATTAAATCTGAGAAATCAGTATTCGTATATTGGTATTCTTATTTACACCTGGAGTTAGTCGCCACAGAAGGCATCAAGTAAGTCAAGTATCCGCATCCAGGCGGTTGAATTTGAGAGCTGTTCGCACATCTCGCTTTCGCAGCTCTGACTAGAGGACCATGATTGCGGAGTCCACCTGTTAAGTAACGAAGGATTTTGTTAGAAATAAGTAAGATTTGTTTTAGAAAAGTCTATCTTTCTACAGTTGCGTCGGCATCGTTTTATATTTTTTTTTAGCTTTCTTTGTGAGTGTCGGCGTTTTGGAGGGAGCATTTGCGGGGGGCAGAGCGGCCGGGAGTGGGGAGCGGCTTCCCCGCGGTCGTTAAGAAACGTCTCGGGTTTCGGTAGTCTGCTCGGACAGATCCCTTCTTGCAGCTGGTTGTGGCTTTTAGCCAAATGTGCTTGTATATAGAGGGTTTCGCCGCTTAGTGTAAAATTGTCGCTTTTTGCCCGATGCAATAACTTAGCGGTTGGCGCCAGTCAGACTGGAAAAATTGCAGAGAACAACCCTACAAGGAATTTAGTTTTGGCCGTTACAGCGACAGGATGACAGCTCGCCGACCATTGGACGACAGTGTACCACGTGGGAGTGGTGAAATTTGAAGTGATTGGTCCATCTCTGGAGAGAAAGGAGGCATCTACGAGGCTAGAAAAGGGCTGCCGAGAGGGTTCTCGGGGGGATTCGGCTCTTGAGACTGGGGACTAAAGTACGGGGTTTTAATTTTGGAAGTTTTGTATATTACCGTTGACTTGTCGTTTTGTTTTGAAAATAAACGTGGCCACACTGGCCACCGTAAACCTACCAACGTCGTAATGTGTCCAGCGGGATCGAACAACTTTTAGTTTTTTTTTTTCGTATTCGACTTCCCGGGGGGCTACCATCGGGCGAACACCATCATCGGTCGTCACCACCTTGACCGGGCCCCTTCCCCCTCGGAAAGTTGACTCCACCACCTGTCACTCTCGATCTAAACAATGTTTTTGCAGTGTGGTTCACACATGAAGCAGTTCAAGCTGTCTCAGGCGAGCAAACAACTTACAAGAGCGCCACCCATAGTTTAGAAGCGTCGCTCAAGTGAATGTAATCATGCTCTGTGTATGTGACAGCGGGAGGTTAGTCGGTTTCATTGCTTCGTTTCCCTGGCAATCGGTTCATCAACACGCAATGTTTCATCTACAGATCAGATTAGCTTTTTTTCTGTAATAAGCTGTATCAGATTAACTCGCTGTGAAGCAGCGTGTACGGGTCAGTTAGGTGGGTTAACATTTTTGTAATGAGCTGCCGCAGGCTGTCACCGCAAAGCGGCGTGATCGCAGGAGGGAGCGTGGGATAATAAACCCAGGAGAGCCGCGGCACCGCAGAAAGGCAACAGCCCATACCATGGAGGCCCATGGTGCCGAGTCTAGTGATGATATAAGTAGGATTCCGTGTTTTCTGATTTTTTTTTTTTTTTTTAATTTGGGAATTATTTTTTTTACAAGTTAATTTTTTTTTTTTTACAGATTTGGTGTTTTTTGTGTACAGTGGTTATGGTTGAAACCAATTTAAACAAAAGCACCGCATCTAAGAAAAATTAAACTGTGAGAAAAAAAAGGCTCCGAAAACACGGAACGCTAGTACATATAATATACAGTGATACACACGTGATGAAATGTCCCTACAGCGTGCAATTCGCGTAATGAGTGTCGATGAAACGATCGTGTCGTCGAAACGTGTGTCCATGAAAAGTTGTCCACGAAACGAGTTTCGACGAAATGATACAGTACGACTGCTAGCCTAGCAGCGATACACGACTGCGTTCTGTGCCGCGCAAGCTACCCGTGCCCCCGTGTCCCTAGCTGCGGTGTGCTAACACACTCGGCCAGCGGAGTATGTACGATCTCTATGGCCAGCGGCGACCCGCCCTCTCTCTCTCCAGAGTCAAGACAACATGGACAACAGCAACCTCACAAGAAATGCTCATGCTCTCTCTGAAAGAGCCTGTATTACAGAGTGTGTCCAGCTTTGTCTATTGGGGAGGCGGGCGCGGGGAGAGGGGAAAACGCTCCCCATGGTATGAGATGGACCCTCTCTTCAATCTAGGCTCTCTGCGCGCCTATGCCGAGTGTCGATTACGCGAAATTAGAGATGCATACACGCTTGTACGTAATTTTACAACTGTTTCTACATGTAAAACTTTATTGTTTTAAAATATAAAGTTATTTTCGGAATTAAAAAGTTTTATTTTATTATGTAGGCATCCGATGTCCAAAGGGGGCGCAGCGGTCTGGTTCCTCTTTTTTTTTTCTCCTATTTTTTTTTTTTTGCTGTTTGCAAGGTTTTGAAGCAGTCCAGTGCACAAGTGGTACAGGCAGTACAGGCAGTACAGGTCCAAACTGTCCATTGTCTTTTTGGAAAGTGATTGCGGTAATCTGCCTTCTTCAGCGAACCGCTGTAGTTTATAAGCATTTCAGATAGCACTTTCAACGTTAACGCTGAAGCTGTGGCGCCGGGCACCAACCCTCGAACCCTGCGTGAGTATGTGCACGTTTCTTATTTTGTTGCTGGTGCTTGTTTTTCGGCGGGATGCAACACGCGGGTCCTAGGCCTACTTCTTGCGTGATTATTCGAAAGGACTGCATACACCGGTTTCGTAATAGATTCAGTTCTAATTGACCTCAGAGTATTATATATATCTTTTAAATTAAATATCGAAGGATGAGTTTGTCTGTCCACTTTATTCTCTCCCTTTTACTTTGTCTTACCGTTTCTTTCCCTGTCTCAGGGTTGAAACAATGACTATTACGCAGCAGTTCACCTGCACTATTCTGTTTCATACTTAGCGTGCAACGCTGTCAAAGCTGCTGGCGCGAGCGCGTGGCTTCGTCAATGGTTTTGTTTGCGCGAGAACGCGTGCAAATGTTCAACGAGATCAAGCCCCAAGCTCGCGCCAGTAGCTTTGACAGCGTTGCACACTAAGTATGAAACAAAGTATAAATAAAAAAAAACAAACAAAAAACGCTGAAATGAAAACCATTTTAAAGCAAAGCTATGTTTTTTTTAACTACTACTTGGTGTGCGTGCGGCAATCAAATATCGCAATGGGCCACTGTTTTATTTTTTTTTTTACCTACTTTGAGTGCAGCCATTAAATGGCATGATGAGCCACCCTGGCGTTTATTTTGGCAAAAGAAAGATGAGAGAGAAGCTTGTCTTGTTTCTTTTCTTCTGGATCTATTCTGCTATAATATGGCCCACAACTCTATTTGATTTCGCAGAAAAAAGCTTAGTTGAACGTTTGTCCCTAGGAAAAAATTTAATCTTATTTTTCTTTTGACCCAGGTGAGCTAATATTTTAAAACTCTTAAAGGGATGCTGAACAGAAATCTGGATTCCACAAAGCACGACGGCAAAAGTGTGCAACGGGATGCTACAAACACCAAAACATCACTAATAAGCGATATATAAAATGGATGACAGTGTTTTTCAAAAAAAAAAAAGGGAGGTGCATTTGACATATATGTTCACGTCTTGTTTCTTCGAGAGGAGCCAAGGAGAGGGAACGGCCTCGCGCCTTCTCCGCCTTGCCGCCTTGAGGGGGCGAAACAAAGAGAGGAGGAAACGAGATATCTTGACCTCACGCGCCTCGTCGGCCTTGTTAAATCTCTACCTTTTTTCCCCCAAAAGTATGGCCGTTGATTCGGTATATCACCTTACGAGTGGTGTTGTAGGAATTGTAGCGTCCCGCCTGCAGCTCCTGCATTGTTTTCTGAAATCCAAATTTCGGTTCACGATCTCTTTGAATGAGAAATGTGCCATTTATCAGTGTCTTTGTAGTACATCATTGCATGATACATGGAGATTCCAATTTATGTGGCCCCTTTGAAGAGCCACACTTTTATCGAGGTCTCACTGTAAATTGTAAAGATCAATCTTGCTGCAACATTGTAATTTACACTGAAAGTGAAGCTCTGTGGTGCATTTGTTTGGTGCAAGCAACCTTTGCATACACCTTTTGTTCAGCTTGTCTCTTGTTTTGTGCCAGCAACCTTGACATACAACTTTTGTTCAACTTGTCTCGTCCTTGCTTTTGTTTCGGTGCCTATTCTATTCGCAACTCCAACACACTGTAGACGGCGGGGCAATAGTTCAAAGATGGCCAAACAGACAGGAATAAATTTTCCAGGACTTCCTTTGCACCTGCTCGCTGATCAGCGAGCCAAACTACAGTTATTCGGCTACAAATCCGAAGCGGTCAGAGCAGGAGCCTACCACAGGTGGAGATGTTGACACACATCAAGAAAAATCAGAATATTGATTTTTAAAAAATTGCCAAGCCAAGCTCAACAGTTTCTATATTAAGACTCATGTTTTCCGGTAAATATGGCGTGTTCGTATGTTGGTGCATGATGGACCAACATGCCGACAGTCTCTGCCACCATCTCTGCTGTCGTCCCCGCTCCTCTGGTTCTTATAGCGAGTTTGTTTCACACGCATTGGCACTGTTTGAGTTCTCTTCCAAAATGCATCGCACTCGCGGAGTGTTGCATGGAGAACTGACCTCAAACAAACTTGCCAATTGCACCGAGTGCAGAAGACTGATGCTGTCGCCATCTACAGGGTGATTCAAGGAGAGGCCAGGCTCTTTAAATCGACCGCACAATTCGGTTTCTTAACCTATCTTGCTACGACTTTGTGCAGCGTTGCCCACAGATGGTGCATTGCCACCCGTCTTCAAACAACACGGTGGCGTTTTGCACGGGAGACAAGAGATGGCGCAAGCGGTTGCGACGCCAACTGCCGCCAACGAACGAGCATAGACGCCGAGAGCCAGCATCTTTAGCAGACAAGGAACTGCAGTTCCTTGTTGTTACCGCACCTGTTTTTGTTTCTGCGACTGTCGCCGCCTGCGGAACGTGCGCCGCTTTTGAGTCAAAAAGATTGTCTGCTAAAGACGCCAGCTCTCGGCGCCGTAGGCTCGTTCGTTGCGCCATCTCTTGTCTCCCGTGCGAAATGGCGCCGTGTTGTTTGAAGACTGGTGGCGTCGCTGCATTTCCATAGGAGCTAAGCCTTTTTCTTTCTTTACTTTTTCCTCGGGTAAATTCGTTTTTTGCAAATTTTACAAAAAAAAATGCACCATCTGTGGGCAACGCTGCACAAAGTCGTAGCGCGATATGTTAAGAAACCGAATTTTGTGGTCGATTTAAAGAGCCTGGCCTCTCCTTATCACCCTGTATGTTGTAGAGGGAGTAAAGGCTTCAAACCGAAACTAGCGTCTTTCTGTTCGACGTGATGAATGGGAATGCGAGAGTGCATTCGCTGCCAACGTTTTTATGTAAACGTTGGTGGCTGTAACCTGTAGTTTACATATGCGATGACTTCGAGCAACTCGGCTAACAGCCGGCGTAAATTTCCGCAATCAGCGAGCAACTACAAAGCAGCTGGTTGCAATCTTTCAATTCTTATAACCGTTTATACTGGAGAAAACTGATCATGCTGTCTGTGCAGAAGCTTGGTTCGTTTTAGCATGCTATTATGCATGAACCACTGAAAGGGTACGGCTTAAAACTAGTCTGTTGGAATATCCAGCAAAACATTTGGTGGGACATTCGATCTCGATCGTCGGTACAGGTGGATCAGATATTAGCCTTGTCGAAAACTTTCCCAAACATAATACGCCGGGGCAAGATAGCTAACTTAAGTAAATGTTAAAGGTGATGTTGCCCAAGCCTCGGGTAAAGTCACTGTCTAGCTTTCTCGGATGCTTATTAGGCAGACAGGTTTCTGCTGAGATAGCTTTGTCGACAAATGTTTCATTTTTCACCCGCATATGGATGGTGATAAAGATATCGGGGGCCGCTGATGCGTTTGTTTGTTCTGAGCATTTCTTTACACACCGGTATATTTCAGCATCTGTACGGCAACAGGGCGACTAAAAACTTGTAAATAAAGCACGGGTTGTCAATTGCTTCCTTTATGAAACAGCAGACGCTCACAATTCAAGCTCGCGTTTGATTCTGTTGCCTGCAGGACACGATTTCTATCAGAAAATCTACTTTTTTTTTCCTTTCGGTTTTGCTGCACAAATGACACATCGTAGCAGACAAACCCTCGCCGGAGCGAGGCATGACAGAATTGCATTTCGGTGCAGCGAGTGCATGTACGCGTGGGGTGTCGCCGCTGAAACAAACTCGGGAGAGTGCAACCACTCGTGAAGTGCCGGCCAAAAAGAACTCGCTCCACGCTGCGAGTGGGCACGCGTGGACACGAGTGCTGTGAAACGAACTCGCTATTAGTTTGTATGCGAGACGACCGTCAAGCTGGAGTTGGGAATAAACCATTTGCTATATTACCCAAGCGCCCCGGCCCGCACTCGAGGAATCATGGGAATGGTGTTCCCTAGTGATCGGTAATTTTGACCAATTCGATGCTTACATAATTTTTTTAGTGTAATCCGCTCATTCTGGGTAAGCATCGTGTAGATTGCAAAGATCTCTCATATCACTTCTAAAATTTCTCGTCGGTATTCATTACACTATGCGTCCAATCTTCCCTTCAACCTGGCTGAGCTACAGAAATCTCTTACAATATAACCATTCTCGTGAATAGTTGTTTTAGCAGGATAGCTTAAAATGCAGAGAAAATACAACAACCAAAACCAGGATTTAGCTCAGAGTCAGCGGGGTTATTTATAGCATTTTGAGCATTCCTAAGTTAATATGAGCTTCTTGAGCTGTATGAGAATGATAACACTAAGAGATTCTTGCAGCTCAGCCAGGTCGAGGGGGTTGATGGGGCAAGCACAGTGGAAAAACGCTGGCATTGCCGATAAATTTTATGTGACAGGTTAGGTCTCTGCAATCTACATGACTCTTATTCAGGAGGACTTCAGATTACACTCAAAACAGGTGCTCATCGAATTGGTCGAAATTTTCGATCACTAGGTAAACTGAAGAAACACTTTGCTTGAAGGGACGCATTATGAGAAATCATGTTCGACCACCACTGGTGTTGGCAAAGTCACAATTAACAGCAGGTGTTTTGTATGGTTAGCTGCTTTGTCGCAAGTTTAAATACAAGCAAATAATGAAGATAACTTGTTCAGATAGGTATTTACTTGCGTCCAGAATTTCTTATCTGCTCTGCAGAAAGAAAAGGTTAAAACACCATAAGTTTAGGACATCAGTATTTGTAATGCCCTGATCTTCGAAGGAAGCTCTCCAGAATTTGGGGTGTTTTGCTATTCTGGATTCCAGTACCATTATCATAGGATGTGTGAGCTAGCAAACATTGACCCCTTTCAAACTGCTGCTTCTGCATACAGGATGGTCAAGCCCTTCGCAGTAGTGAAGTTCCCTGAAGAGAAGGACAGTCTCGCAGCTGTGCCAGTCGGATGGCTGTCGGAGGACGAATTGTTTTGCACTTGGCCCATGCACGTGAAAGGGTGCCAACTCATAAGCCTGGTTGAAGCGCAGGCTCCACCTGGCGTTGTCGGCAAAGGCTGGGAGGTCTTCCCTGTCATTGTAATTAAGACCTACTGTAAGTAATTTGTTTACAGACCCATTGCCTTTTCCTTTTTTTTTTTTTGAGGTGTGTGATTGGGGGTCATTATTTTTCCAGAAGAGAATCTAAACATCAAGCACATGATACTGTCAATGGGACCTAAAATACTTTTTAGTAAGTTTTAAAGTGATTTTAAACATTTTTTAGGCATTTCTAAGGTGTAAAGTTTTGAAAGTTCTTGGTCAAGCTCGGGTACTCAATACTGTCGAAACCAAAAGAGAAAACACATGTGTCCTCCTATTATTTTTTTTTTCTCCAGATTCGGGTTTTTATGTTTAAAGGTCATCAGTTTGCCTGATTCCTATGTTATTTATATCACATACTCAGTTTGTATTTTTCTTTATAACCTGTACTGGTGTGCAGGCAGAGTTGTATGAAACAATTTCGCTTGGTAGCTAATTTGAGAAAATATGCCGTTATCTGCAGCTACTAGGTTTGAAAGCTGCAACTATATTTTATTCTCTGCTAGAAAGATGTGAATGCTTGCAGACAAACTTCATTGGCTCCTGAATAACTGTTTCAAGCTACGGCATATTGCAAGAATGGTCCAGAAGCCAGTACTCGTTATGATAAAACAAACTACACTGACGAGTGCAGTGGAGACACAGGCAGCTAGCTTTGTTTCTACATACTAATCCTTCGAATTAAAGCTCGGCGTTTTGACGTCCCCTCACGCTCTCGCCTCCTCCTCTCCCTCACCTTCTCAGCACATACACAAGTCCATTTTTCTCTAGCAAAAAGAAAAAAAAAATTGTCATGTAATGTATACACCAATTCAGCTTCCCCGCTAAATTTAGTAGGAATTTAACATTGTGTAGCACCGATTGCATATCGGTGCAGTCACGAGGTGTAGTTTGCTCCCAATAGACAAATTTGGATAACGAATTCTGTCATGCATATCTGAAACTTGAACAATTAAAACAATTAACTATCAAGAGTACACATAGTAGGCATAAAAATATCTGATAAAGAGCACCGTGAGTGTATTGCTAAACGTTTGTGATGCTGGAACGTTTCACACACGCGTGACAGAATTTGCTATCCAAATCTGTTACGTAAAGTCAGCGTAGTTTGTTTATCAACTCAGTTATTTTTTTCCGCTGAAATGTGTCTTGCAGAACTATATTCAGCTGAAATTCTTCAAATTCAGTCTCCATACTTCAAACACAAATTTTATTTACAGGGACCTACAAAAAGGCTGCCAAGAAAGTTCGCCAGTACGTCTGGACCTCCACCGTAGAGACATCAGATTTTTCGGGTGATTACTGAGTTCCAAGGCTTTGTGAAAATACCTTGGGGTAAAATAATGGGATGTTCTGATACATTGTTTTTTTTTCCTAGCAAATGAGGCCTTGCCGGGAGTGGAAGCAGCCGTATCGCATCCCCCCCTCAGAATGCCTTCACCACGTAAGCATTCAGTTATAGTAACCATTATCTGTATTTAAATGATAGGCTGTCTACAGTATTATTCACACTTCTTCAGTGAACAACATGCTTTGGGCACTTACGTGGCTTGTGGCAAGTAATAAGCTTCTGAATGGCTCTCTGCCATTCAGAAGCTCATTGGAGGCAGGGTTGCCAGGTGTTTGAACTCCAACCCGCCAAACGTCTACGAGATCTAGCCCAAAAATAGCCAAATGTCGATCCAGAAAAATAGCCCAAAAATAGCCAAAAAAAAACTTATCATTTGAAACGTTTATTTTGAGCGGAAAAGACACATAATACATTTTTATCCATCAAATGCCCCAGAAATGGCGTCCCTTGCACGTTCGGCGAACTTCCTCAAACGCTCGTACAAGCGCATGACAACATACCTTCCACTTACAGTGTTCTAGAGGGAGTTGTAGTGGCAAGAGCGGCGGCCGCTTTGTGAAGATTTTGCGCGTAGACGACACCATGGCGCTGCTGTTCTGTGCCCTAGGAGCGCGCCCCCGTCACCCTCATCATCAGCGCTGTTCGGCGCTTACTACTGTGGTTTGACTGGAGCTTTTCGCGGTGCAAAACAACTGCTAATGTTGTTCTGTATACTCTGCTTCACCTTATGATGTACCGCAGGAAAGGCTACAAGCGCGAGCTCCTTGCTCTGGGGCACATCACGGCGGCACAAGCTCTCGTGAATTAAGAGCAGCTGCCAACGCTATGAGCTCGCGCTTCTAGCCTTCGCTGCGGTACAACATAAGGTGAAACGAAGTATAGTAAATTGTAGTTCTGCCTTTGGACTAATGCCTTAGAGTGTGTGCTTCCTCTACTTGAAATATTCGCGTGTTTTGAGGGAGATTATTTAATTAATATCGACTCGCCCCCCTTCCCAGTACTGACACATCGTTCAGCAGCGCTATCACTTGGGCTGCAGGCTGCGAAAGAAAGTCTACGGTGCTACATTTTGGAGAAGCGTACTGCGTCACCCTCGTCGTCTTCTTCGTTCATCACACACGTGCCATTAATTCTAGGGCACAACTCCAGCGCCACTCGCTGTATCTACGTCGACCGTCTTCACGCGCTTCATTGTAAGCGGGCGCCGCTCTTGCCACTACACCCTCTAGAACACTGTGCTTGGTGACCAGAATGACGTGACGGGAGAACTATGCAGAATTCAGACAACCTAAAGAATGCGCAGAACAGGTGCTGTTAACGCCGCAAGGAATCGCGCCGTCACTTGTTGAGATGAAGGAATAACAGCGCATGCTTGGCATTCGGAGGTAAACAATCACACAAGGCGCGCAAAAAGAAGACGAATTTCTTTACTGTCGCAAACTTCAGTCCCTTAACCCTTATCAGGGTTAAGGGACTGAAGCACCAAATGTTCACGTAACTTACTCTAAAAATACATTCGAACCTATAAACCCAAGTGCTTTCAGGCATTTTGGTTCCAGCACAGGTCAGAAATTGCCCAATGCATAGGTCAGAAATAGCCCAATGCACAAGTTAGAAATAGCCCAATACTAGCCAAATAGCCAACTACCATTTTTTCCCGCCAACTGCAAATAAAACTAGCCCAATTTGGCTATTTATAGCCCAACCTGGCAACCCTGATTGGAGGTGCTGGGTATTTGAGAGGTGAAATCTGTTAGTTACTTTCAGTCTCAATGACCTATGAAATGTAGTTCTCTCAGGATATCTTTATGATAGATATTAGGGTACCTCTCTAAAAATATAATGTTACTATTAATATTTCTTAGGTTGAGGCGCTCTGCATGGTTCAAACTAGGCAGCTTTGCTAGCCATCCACCTCAATAAAATTTTATTAAGTAAATTATAAATCACTTATGCAAACAATATAATTGGTGTGCTGATAAACCATTGTAGTGCCTAACCATGTTTGCTTGGTGTGGACACTGTCTTTATGCTATTCAGCTGCATTGAGCTCCCGCTCGTTGGTGGGGGGTCAGCACAAGACCAGCCAGGCAGGCAGACGCCAACCTCAGCTGCAACCTCAGCACAGCCAGGAGGAAAATGAGGGGGTCACCTGTGAGTCTGCTTGTAATTTTAAACATTCAGAGTTGAACAACTTGAAGATTGCATCAACAGAGCCGTAGTAAGACTGTCTTAATGCTATTCAGCTGCATCAAGTTCCCATTCGTCAGCCATAGGTTACGAGGATGACCTGGCAGAGACCCTGCAAGCGCAGGAAGTGAACCAGCCCCAGGACAACCAGGAGGCCAGTGAGGATCCCAGTCGTAAGAATTTATAAGTTTATACTTTTTAACATTCAGAGCTGAACTTAAAAGTTGCACCCGTTTGCTAGTGTGTGTATTTATGCTGTTGTGAATGGTGTCCTGGAAACAGATTGGGATAAGGTGTAACTAGATAATAGCTTTGTTTTGTTGTTACATAAAAAAGCTTGAACTTGACCTTTAGAAAAAAAATTTTCAACAATGTGAAAAAAAAAATATTGGTACCATCTTTCGGGAATTTCTGGGAAATTGGAATTTACTAGTTTTTGTTGAAGTACTTGGACATTGCTGAAGGGCTCAAAATATTAATGCGGTAAAAAAAAAATGTATCTGCCAGTTAAATTTTCTTATATTCATGAAAGTACACATGCAACAAAAGCAAAGGGAAATTTTTTTTTTTTTTAACTTGGATGGGAAAAGTTGTAAAACAAATTTACAATGAACAAAAAAGCTTTTTAGAGCTATATTTACGAAGCGAAACGAATTTGTAGTTGGCGCCCGTGGGAAAGTCGTCGCTATTTATCATGTGATTGGCCGCTATTTATCACATGGTGCTTGTGCTCTTTCGGAAGCTTCCTATTGTCTCTAAAAGTCACTTATTCATCTTCGTTTGAAGTGCAACAAAAAAAAAATTAATAAGAACTTCTAGAGCTCAAAGGAAGCTCCTGAAAGAGCGCAAGCACCACGTAATACTGTGCTGTAATCAGAAATCGATGGCGGCGGCACGCCGAAGTCTTCCCTTCTGGCGGTGGCGCGGAGACACTCAGTCAACTGGTGGTGCAGCACACTTGGTGTGCAGCGGCAGCACACAGGTCTACTAGTGACCAGCGGCGGCTCCCGCGAGTGCACTCTACAAATTAGTTTCGCACCGAAAATATAGCTATAGAACTTTTTTTCTTCGTTGTAAATTTGTTTTCTGACACTTTTTCGATCTATGCTGTTTAAAAACAAATTGATTTTCCTTTGCATGTGTCCTTTAAACAACAAAGCATTTATTCTCAAGCATTGAAGGGAAAATGTTGTAATAAGGTGGTGAACTGGGCCAGTTGGTTGACGTTATACGTGATAGGGAAAACGACTCAGAAAACACGGACTATGAAGAGGAACAGACACGACAGGACAATTCTGTACTCTCAACTGAAGAATTTTAATAAAGGAAACAAAGACAGAAAAAAACATACACATCATCTTAAAAGATTTCACAAAACCAAAAGACCACTCTCGCCAACCATGAAGCGTGTCAATAAACTACCCGTTCACTACGTGACCCATTTTTTGCCGCAGGAAGGAAATCTTTTGGCTCATAGCGCCAATGACGGTTTGCTAAAACATGAATGAACATGACACAAAATGTGGAAGGCCTCAATGTTCTCTCTCGTCGCCCTATCCTTGTGCGCGCCCAGAACGGTGACTCTGCCAAAGTCAGGCAGACACTTGCACTCTGCAATGAATGGGCAAAGGCCCCCCAGCCGTAGCTCCGAGCGAATATGAATGCTCTCGTAATCTGTCATTCAGACATCTTCCTGTTTGCCCCACGTAGCACCTGTTACATGACAAAGGTATCTTATATACCACACACGAAACACAAGTGACAAACGGTTTTCTGTGCGCCTTGGTGCACTTTGCGCTGGAACGACCAACTACCCCTGCACCAATCCTGGAACATATCTGGCCCATTTTTTTGGGGCGCCGAAAACACTACCACACGCTTCTTTTCCCTTTCCGGCCCCGTCCTCTCCACCCCCTTAGCTTTCTTAAGAGCACCAAGGCGCACAGAAAACCTTTTGTCACTTGTACGTGCTTCACAGGCACGTAGCCAGGATTTTGTTTTTGCCCATGACAAGATGCTGTATGAGGGGGAGGGGGGAGAGGAGGTCCCAGCAAAATGGAAGATTTCGGGGGGGGGGGGGGGGGCCGGGCCCCATGGGCCCCCCCCGGCTACGTGCCTAGTGTTTCGTGTGTGGTAAATAAGATACCTTTGTCATGTAACAGGTGCTATGTGGGGCAAACAGGAAGATGTCTGAATGATAAATTACGAAAGCATTCATATTCGCTCAGAGCTACGGCTGGGGGGCCTTTGCCCATTCATTGCGTCGTGCAAGTGTCGGCCTGACTTTGGCGGAGTCACCGTTCTGGGCGCGCACAAGGATAGGGTGGCGAGAGAGATCATTGAGGCCTTCCACATTTTGTGTCATGGTCATTCATGTGTTAGCGAACCGTCATTGGCGCTGTGAGCCAAAGAGATTTCCTTCCTGCGGCAAAAAATGAGTCACGTAGTGAACGGGTAGTTTATTGACACGCTTCACGGTTGGCGAGACTGTTTTTTTGTTTTTGTGCAATCTTTTAAGATACTGTGTAGCTGAAACAATGTTCAGCTTTATTTATTTTCAAATAATAAATTCAGAGATAAAAATATTGAGTTATTTATCGGTATTCATGTTTGTTGTACACTACTACATCACTGGACTGGAATATACCTCCTGTCGTTTTGTAACCATTGCAGCCGTGCTGCGTGTCCCGCCACAGCTCGCATTCATTGCGAGATGAGGTTGTGGAACCTTATCATGAAATAGAATTGTACGAAAACATAAAAGTGAAGCAATAAAAAAAAATTATATTCCCAACAAGATTTAAATCTAGGACTTCACAAAATCATCATCACTGAGGGACATCCACGCACAGCCTCTTGGCTATTAGCACATCCGTTTTGGACCATTTATTTTCGTTGTGTAGTTTTAAGTTGGATGTTATACTTTCCCCGTGACTAGCTTTATAGTCATGAGTTTTCAAATAATTATTTTTGACCACAATCTTCCTCAGCAGTAACTTGACATGCTGATTCTCTAGTACGCTAAGGCGATTAATTTCGCTTCTATTTGCAGCATTTGTGTCCTTGTTCTGCTAGCGGATCAGCAATTTGTCCGGTTAAAGCGAAAACATGTTCACAGCTTGCAATTAGTTTATCGCGGTGTAATAGGCGACGCTAGAGCTCTGTGAGGTCAGCGATCTTACAATGACCTTAGCATAATATCAGACGTCAGATTTCATCTGTTGACTTGTGTTAGAGCCGCTGTTGGAGCGATATCTGACTCTCCGGCTTTGCCCATCTCGTTTGATCTGCATGGACATCTTGCGCAGGCAACAAAGAGGTTCTATTGGTTACCTAACATGCGGTACTTTTAGAACTGCGGGTCGGGAAACTGAAATAATCTTTTCTGTGCTACTAAATGAATGTGGGATATATAGATGACAAACATATAGCTCGGAATTCTGAAGAAGCAAAAATATTCCCGACCCCTCTAAGTGCATGCATATTGTCCAATGCACCTTTGGTGTTATCACTAACTTAAATTTTCTTCTTCAGTGGCTGCAGATCTTTTGTAAACAACCAGTATGAAAACATGTTTGACAGCCGCAAAATGTGTGCTCCATGCCACAGTCAGCTTCACGGTAATTGCTGTGATAAAACTACTGTGCCATAATGGCTCTGTTATCCCCTTCGAGTGTGAGAAAAAAACAATGTGGTTTTAGGAACGGAGATGAGCAGCATTTTCATAGATATCCAATGCAAATACCATGTCTCATGGACATTTTGTTGCATATCACGAAGTTGGGTCTCTGTTGTCCTTTATTTTGGACACATGAATTTCTTTGGTTACAAATTGCTGCATGGGAAAAAGTCTGCTGAAAATAAGTTTTAATAGAAGCACCCATAATAAATGAAAACATTCATCTATAGTTGCTGACAGTATTAGAGCAGGAGGAAGGCTCTTCAAATGTCCCAAATCCAATGCAAGCTTCCTACTTTCGATAATGCTTTGACGTCTTGCGAGTCTTGAGCGTGTACGCATAGCCAAAGCACACCTGAAGGTAGCGAACACTTGCTGGAGGCCGGGCATCTGAAAAAGATGCCATTCTTATCCTGTCAGTTAGAATAGTCGCTTAGCCAAGGTCTGGAGTGGGACAAGTAGTGGATTGATTAGGAAGCTGATTTAGGGCAGCTTGCTATACATTGAAGTCTCTCATGTCATTACTTTTATATTGTTTTTAACTATCTTCACTAAACAAATATAGGACCTGTAAATGTAGGTTACCAGCTGTATGCTGACAGGTTCAAGAGAAGTCTGAATGAAAATGTGCAAAGAGCTTGACATGAAAGTATTCTGTTCCAGGTGTCCAGCTGAAAATGGTACACCTTTTGGTCGAAATTCGACAACAGAATAGGGACATCCTGCATCAGTTTTCACAGCTGAGGCAGGATGTCCTAGACATCTCTGAGAGGGTGGCCTTGCTGGAGGCACCGGCAGCTCAGGCAGCACGAGCCCCACAGGTCCTGCCCCTGATTCTCCCAAGGCTGCCAGCCGAAAGCCTTCAGGAGTTGGAGGCAGCAGAGGCAGCAGTCAAGGAGAAGGGTGTAGCCAAAGCCTTGGTAGTTATTGCCTTTTATATTTTAGGTTGCCCATATCAGTGTGTCCTTATTTATTCTTTTTTAATGCTACAATGTCGTGGAAAAGGCAGTGGTAACAGAGAATGTATTATATGTGTCACTGCGTGGTGATGTTGCACAGACGAGCTTAGTACACATTTTACAACTTCATGGCATGAACATCGTCATACAAAGCCTTTCTGAAAGAATGTCCTGCCAAAGTTAGTGCTCCAGCTGCAGAGGAATGTGCGGTATGTGTGTCTAGCCGTCACACACCCCAGTGTTGTCCCTACTATTTCTTAACCCCATTTTATTTGAGGCATGTGCTTGTTCTCTTCCCATTTGCCTCCGGCACACACTCCCACGTGGACGATAAATGGATTGATGTTATACTCCTCTTCATCTTGCGACGTACTGAATGGATGCTACAAGACAAATCAATCTATAGTTTGTGGTGTGTCGAGGACTACAATTCCAGCCAAATGTCGATGCAGCACTCGTGTGGTATTTTTTCACAGCAGGAGTGTGAAGCTGGAAGCTGCTAGGAGCCAACTTCGTAACGGGAAAACTGTTGTTTCTTAACCTTTTTAATGGGAGCAAGCTATATACCTAAGCAACTTTTTGTGGTAATGTACTGAAAGGAATAGGCATGTATGCTTGGCATTAAGGACGCCTATGTTGCGCACACGTGAATGATTTGGAGGATAAGTACAGGTACGTTCTCGTTGAGCTGAAGGTTGTTTCAAAGCTACACATCTGATGTATCTTTAGGTACATTTCACGTGGAACACTTAATTAGCGTTGTTTAAACATTTATGCAGAAGTGCTTTCTATCAAAGGAGTTAATAAGTAACTCCTCAGTTCCAAACGTATTTGAGATTAGGGGTAAATTATTGTAAACTACTAAATCCACTCACACAGTAATATGCGGCTCGTGCAGCATTTTTAGCATTAAAAAAGATAAATTTAAATGCATTTCCCTGTTTCACTTTTATCGGAATGCAATCTTCCTCCCCGTGACCAAAATGTACAACATGCATGGTGACGCCTCGCATCGCATGTGTCTAGATCAGGGGTGGCCAAGCTGCGGCTCGCAAGCAGCGTGTGGCTCGTGACCCCCCTCCCTCCTGGTCACACGAGCACTTCCCCACAAAGAGAAATAGGACGCATTTTAAATTGAAAGACAGGTTGCAATTTGGTAATCTTGTGCTACTACTACCTTAAGTAGAATTGAGTTGCTTTTGTCCTTGATAGATTGAAAGTTGGGAGTTTTGTTTATTGTTCTGTACAAGACCCCCCACCCCAACCCCCACACAGTTCTTGGTAGTTTCGTGGTTTTGTTTACGGCTCTTTCCGCCGAATTTGCAAACCTCATTCCAATTGTGGTGCCCCTCCACTTCCTCTAGGAAGGCGCGAGGGCCGGTGTTGGCCAATCGCAAGGAGCCGAGGCCACCAATCCGTCGTCGCGATTGGCCAGCACCGGCCCTCGCGTCTTTTTTGAGGAATTGGAGGGGTGCCTCAATTGGAGGGAGGTTTGTGAATTCAGCGGTTAGGCCGGGTCAGCCTGGCCACCCCTGGTCTAGATAGAGCTTCCGGACTTCCGCTTGAGGCTTGCCTTGTTGATGTCAGTGCCCGTCTGAACACGCACCTCTACGTGCGATGCATGGCAGTGCACGCATGTTGCACCATCATGCATCACAGATGATAAAAGAGAATCATGTGTTTTCTCATTGCTAGCCGTCCGCCTGCTGCACGAGTGGTAACTTTAGTGCACCCCACATGCTTCACACACGCTCAGCAAGTTTCCAATTGGAACCATATGTTTATTTTAATAAAGGGTTATTATTTTTTTCATTCGTGTTTTTTATAATCCTTGACGTCCGCCGGCGGTTTGTTACCCAGTTTTTTTTTTCTCAATCACCCTATTCATGGGGATTTTTAAGCATATTAGCAGAGACACCTAGCATAGTATTTGAATGAACCTTTGAAACAGTCTTTAAGAAACTGCCGAATTTCAGTCGTGGCTGAGTAACACAATATAAATATAAAACTAGCATTTATGGAATATGGATTTTAATTACTAATGAAATTAAAGAAGCTCCTTGAAGCACTTTCATGCTGCCAGCACCTGTGGCTAAATTGTTCAGGTTTTGGGAGTGTTTGCATCTTTGTTGCAGGTGTAGAATGAAACTATGCAGGTGGTACTAGAGAGCAATTTTAAATTAGTTTTTATTACAACATGGCACTTCTATACATAATTTGTGGTTTTATAGTCATTGTTTTGTTTTACAGCAAGATCAGCTGCAGAAGATTGGGGGCAGGAACCTTTCAGAGGTAACTGCTGGCATCATGAAGAGCATCATGGGTCATCCGGTCCAGGTGCTCTTCAGCCTCTACGGCCGCAAGGGCAAGAGGGCCTTTATCAATTTGGGCCTGTGCACCATTGCAATAGGTAATATTCAATTATTGAAATTCCTGGCTGCCCTACAAACTTCATTATGGAACCCCATAGTCACTGACAGGGCATGGCCTGATATATGCACCACTGCCCATCGAGCGTGATGCTGCACTCAACAAGCTTGACCACACCCTATTTCGATTGTACAAGCCCCATGCCGGTAGGATTAGGACATATGTTGCTTAAAATTGTACCCTGTACATATTAATATCTGTTCATTTTTATGACCTGTAAACAATACAAACCCAGAAAGGACAAATGATAAATTACGGTGAGGGTGCAGGCGAGCTGGTGTATACATTATCATTTTGTTGAATTACCCAAGACCGAGGCAGGAAACCTAGAAACATCCAACTGTGGAAAAAAGTGAAAAAGGTGACAGGAGGAACGTCCTCCTGTCACCTGTCATTTTGTTTTATGGTTAATGGAAAAAAATAACCGTGGCAGATTGAAAACGGTGATGGAGCAAAGTCCTTTTGTCTCCTTTTTTAATCTCTTCCATGGATGGATGTTTCTTGGTCTCTTGCCCCAGTCTGAGGTAATTCATCTGAAGGACAGAAACGAGTTTTGGAACTTTTCACTTGTAGCTGACCAGCAGACTACACTTAGACTTCGTTTACGTTCGCTACACGTTTTCCTTGAGATAAGGCAACGGTATTAAAATGTGCTGCAAGCATTGTATTTGACAACCACATGAGTGCTGTATTCTCATATTTTGAACTGTTTTACCTTTATGACACTTTTTGAGTTTCTTATTGTAAGTTTCATTAGAACTTGTATGAGACCAAGCATTGCCCCGTGCAGAGTGAGAAAAAGGCTGGAAGCCAATTGTCAAGCAAACAGCGGGGCCTACAGATGCGCTTATGGCCTGAATGTCCAACGAGACGGAATGTCCAACGAGCCTGAATGTCCAATCGGTCACGTGACAGGCGAGACGGAATGTACAACGAGACGAAAGATCCAATCGAGACGGAATGTCCATCGAGTCTGAATGTCCAACGAGACGAAAGGTCCAATCGAGACGGAATGTCCAACGTGCCTAAATGTCCAACGAGACGGAAGATCCAACCGAGACGAAATGTCCAACGAGCCTGAATGTCCAACGAGTCTGAATATCCAACGGATATAGAATGAACCTTGCAAAGAATTTAGAAGATATTTCTTTGTTGAATTGTAGGATTACTGATAGTTGCGGCGGTGAAAAATGCGTTCGATGAAATGGGGAACCAGACATTTCGGTGCGGAGATATCGGTACGCCATCATTTCGGTATATGGTCGCTTCGGCAACGGGCTTTTCAGTACCCGGATTTTTGATGCACGACTATTTTGGTATGCCGCTGAGCTTGTCCCACTGACGTTGCCTCTGTGAAGTCCCCAAAGTGAAATTAAAATTATGCTCGTTTATTTTGTAGACTTCATAAAATCCCAAAAACAATTCATTTATTGTTCGTTTTATAGATCTAGATATAAAGATGATTTCTATAATTAAAGGAAAAAACGTTTAAAAGGTCACACATGCTACAAAATCAAAGACCGAACTCGTTCACCATTGAAAACCTGTCACGCGTTTGATTTTAGAAGGTCGTACCGTTGGAGCGGAAACAAATGTAGGACCCACGAGCGTCCTCAGCCACCGTTTTTCCGTATTGTACGAATTGCTGTATTTTTCTTATTCGTGTCCCTAGTCCCGCAAAGATGATGTCCCTTGCATGGGAGAAAAGCGCCTGATTGAATTTTTAGTATATAGTTATTATTAAGTGAAGTGGGAGTAGTATGTGTAATTACTCTAAATTGTAGTCTTTGTTTTCTTCTATTTAAGAACGAACGTGAAAGTTTTAGACATCTCTGATTGGACTTCTCGGTCCCCAGAAACGAAAATTCGATCCTCATATCAAAATCAGTGATAAAATAAAACGTTGCTTCCATTAAGCCTTTGTGCAGCTAATCTCCTTAATTGGTGAGCTTTTGTCCGGTGATTGTGCGGAGGATTCGGCACGTTGACGCTTATCGCGACGATTAGTTTCGCATGCTTCGGCCACCAAAGCGATTGCTGTCGCAGTGAACCATGTATTAAACAACAAGTAGGTAATATTAATAATTATTACAATACTTTTTTAGGGTTGGCTTCCGTCGTTTCTGCCTTTCCTGGTCACGTGGCATGCAGCAATCGCACCGATACGCGCCCATGGTAGCATACCAAGGCTGCGACTGGATTTCAACTGGTTCTTACTCTGTCACAGAGCCGCTGCGACAGTGGGACCGTTATTTATTCATATGCGTACATTACAAGTGCACATATGACCACGGCATCAGGAGGTCAGCCCCTCGCTCGGTCTTCCCCAATTCCATAATGCTAGAGTTGCGAGTAAACATACTCACGAAGAATTCGACTTTTATCATTTTGAATAACCCGGGTACGATTCTCTATCGGACCCTTGCCAATTCTGAGAGCTCCATTTGTCATCCTCTCTTTTTTGAAAAGAAGGTCTCACTGTTGACTCCCACTGTCACCGGCAATCTACACACCCAACCCTAATCAACTCTTTTCACCAGTTCGACAAACGGGGACTTTCGCCCCGTTCTTCATTCTGCGAATCGGGACGAATCGTCCTTCTTTCAGTTGTCCAGAGACCAATGGAATTTCGACGAAGTGACCGGATTGGTGGTGCAATACGCTTACCCTACAAGAATAGAAAGCCACGTGGAACGATCTATTGTTATATTCACACATGATGCAGGCTATTAGGACATCCGGGTGTGAACCTTTTGCTGCACGCCGAGATAGATGCGTTCGCTTCCTTTATCAGCAGTCAAGCTCCCACCTACCAAGACGTCATGAACTACCTGGACAGAATGGCGAGCTTTGGAGTGCTTCCAGATGATAGTTAAATTACATGGGCTTCTGAAAACTACTACGCATGTCACATGCAAAAAAAGAAAAAAAAACGTTGCGTACTGTGTGATACTAGTATTATCGCTCCACTCACTGACATACAAACCTATTGGAAGGGAATGGATGTGTTTGTAAACTACTGACGACTGAAGTGTACAATGAGTAGTTGTCTGTTCCAAGGATAAACGAACAAAAATAAAAATTTGTCAAATTCACACAATTGTTCTGCATTTACTCAGGAATTGTCGGGTCACACCAGCCATCACCCCCATGCATTTATAGGCGCGTTAGATGTAGATTTTTTTTTAAATATCTATATTTTTTTTATTAGTGGGAAATTACGCTTGTGGAAACTCTTGATGCCTCGCACCCACAGCTCCCAAAGCTCCTTTTAAAAAATTAAATATTGACTCTGCGCATAGTCAGTGACGCTGGCGGGCGGTCATGTGTTTGCAATGCGGATCTCCGTATGTAGCTCATCTATATAACTCCAAATGGGCAGGGATGAGGATCGAACTAGAAATTCCTGGGATCTGAAGCGCGGCTTTCATAGACGCCCCCCAATTGCGATCCACTAGAACACCCGTACATTGCATCCCTATTATATATTTCAAATTGGCTGACCTATGTCATCGGAACATTCCAAAAATATGAACTGTTAATATCAAAGGAGCGTTTGGCGTCGTACAATCGACACCTTTAACCGATTTGTACATAGCTGCGCATCGGCACTCAGCTAACTAACCATCAAGCCTTCCTATAGATGAAATTATTATATTTGTGTCTGCTCTGTTTTTTTGTCGGTCCGTCAACGTCGGCTTTTGTAACACGACATTTTAGTATGATATTCGTAACTGAATCCCGGACAAAAGCTCACCGGACAAAAGCTCACCGGACAGAAGCTCACCGGACAAAAGCTCACCGGACAAAAGCTCACCCATTTTTTCACAGACCCGGACAAAAGCTCACCCATATTTTCACAGACCCGGACAAAAGCTCACCACGAGAAAATTTCCTGTTGGTCTTAACACGAGTGCGGACAACTTAGGTGCATGCGTGCGACACAAAAAGGCAACGATAAATTAAATCTGACAGGCACAGGGTTTGTTGATTTTAGTAGAAACAAGTTTATTTATCGATTGGTTAGAAGCGAATGCAGTCCCCCACTAGCTCCAGCAGTCTTCGTAGATCTCGATGTACATGCAAGCCCTCGCAAATATCTCTAAGACAATTCTGCAGGTGCAGAGTAATTTTTCGCACCCGCTTTACGGTGGGCTCACCTCTCCGGGCTTTTATCAATGCCGTGGAAACGAGCGCCTGATTTTGCTCTAGGCATTCAATCAGCCTCACGAAGCTTGGATGGGCGTGGCCGACGAGCTTCTGGATCCCGGTACTCTATCTTTCGCAGGTGTTGCTCATCCGGTCTTTATTTTGAAGAGTGGTGTCGTACATATTCCCCCGTACCGGGGGAAACTCCGGTCGCCGTCGGCGCAGGGTCAGGCGAAGGGAAGAATTCGCTCTGGGTGCCGCCGCAGATGGAACAGAAGCATAACGGAAGCGGCCGTTGTGCTTCTGTTCCATGTAGCCGATGTCACCGGTAGACTTTTCCCTGGTGATTAGTTCTTGTGGAACAAGCTGTGGTGGAAGGAACCCGAGCCTATCTAAAATCCCGCACAATTTTTTTTTTTTAAATTGGTCATCTGTTTTGTACTTTTCCAAAAGGCCGAACTCCCGCTCTTTCAAGGTATTTTTAAAAAAATTCGCAACTCAACGATGGATGAGGTACAAGCTCCCCTAAAAATGGTCCAATGTCCATTGCGTCCGCACTTTATTTCAGCCCGTGTTTCGCCCGGGTAGGAAAAAAAAAAAGAAATCGAGGTGAGCTTTTGCCCCGGTCTGTCAAAAAAAGGGGTGAGCTTTTGTCCGAGTCTGTCAAAAAACGGGTGAGCTTTTGTCCGGTGAGCTTTTGTCCGGTGAGCTTCTGTCCGGTGAGTTTTTGTCCGGTGAGCTTTTGTCCGGTTACCGATGTAACTACGGCAATGCCGGCAGGAACGCGGACTAAATATACACACAAGTCTGTACATTTAAGAGGGCAAATTATTCTAGCACGTGACAGGCGAGACGGAATGTCCAACGTGCCTGAATGTCCAACGAGACGAAAGATCCAACCGAGACGGAATGTACAACGAGCCTGAATGTCCATCGGGACGAAAGATCCAACCGAGACGGAATGTCCAACGAGCCTGAATCTCCAACGAGACGGAAGATCCAACCGAGACGGAATGTCCAACGAGCCTGAATGTCCAACGTGCCTGAATATCCATTATTGGATCTTTCGTCTCGTTGGACATTCAGGCTCGTTGGACATTCCATCTCGTAATCTCTCACTAGTCGCGCGCAGTACTTGGAAGCCACAAGCGAGAAATAAATGACAGTTGAGTTTGAAAGACAATTGCGACGTGGAAACCCATAAAAAAGAGTCCCGATAAGACGAGAGCTACCCTTTCTCTGATTAAGAGCCTGAATATACAACGAGTCAAAAGATCCTACGAGACGAAAGATCCATTAGTGGATAATCAGGCTCGTTGGATATTCAGACACGTTGGACATTCAGGCCTGGTTGGATCTTTCGTCTCGTTGGACATTCAGACTCGTTGGACATTCAGTGTCAAATGGATATTCCGTCTCGATGGATGTTCAGTCACGGTGGACATTCCGGCCTGGTTGGATCTTCCGTCTCGTTGGATATTCAGACTCGTTGGACATTCCGTCTCAGTTGGACATTACTTTCGATGGATATCAGTCTCGCCCGCCACGTAACCAAGTAGATACCTGATTTGAGCAACGCGTTTCGCATTGTTTCCGTATTTCGAGCTGGTAGATCTTCAAATTTTTAAAAAGAATCCTGGTTGCTCAGGCGGATGCAGGTTGCTTAAACTTGGCTGTTAAGATCGACACAATTTTTAATTGCCTAACGGTTTATACATATTTGTGCTTGTTTTTAGCTTGTTTATTCTTATGTGGGCCGTCCTATTTGAAGGAACCGCTGGCCATTGTTCGTTTTGGAGAGGGATGTGTGTAGCCTTGGCCGGCTTACGGGCGTCTCGGGGGGTACATAGCTTGCTCCCGCCGGGGTCTGCTTTTTGGGGTTGTCGGAGGAACTCGCGTGGCCGTTATTAGGGAGTCTTCGTAGATCGTTTTCGCCGTCCCGCAATGCTCTCCGCAACCCGCTACGATAACCGGATCGCCACAGTCAAGGCCGTCGGCACGCAGGCGCAGTAGCGGCTTCTTCGTTGCGGTGGGCTTAGCGGAAGGGGAAACGCGGTCTACGAAAACTTTCTATTCCCCTGTGCCTCCTCTACCAACCATTTTCGGCCTTTGCAGAGGCACCTTGGCTGGGTGCTTGGTTGAGACGGCGGCTCAGATTGCAGTGGGAGCTGCGTGCCCGCCGGACCGATCAGCCGCCTCCCTCTTATTACCTGACCCGGCCCCCTGCGTTGGTATGAGTGGGAGCGTGATGACGTGGCGACTTAGAGACAGGACGTGGCTTCCACCGCAGTCTCAAGTTTGGGGCAAACGGAATACAGAGCGGCAAAGCGAAACTACGAAGTTGCGAAATAATTTTCGTGAATGGGCTTGGCGTGGCGCCGAGTAGGCTCCGGCCGTTTGTGCTGCCGAAGTTACGGGCGTGTCACCCCGTGTCCGTTGCAAATATAATCGCCGTTCTAGTGAGCGTATTGGGCGGCCCCCAGTCGACAATTGGACGGTGGACATCCCGTGACTCCGATAGATTTCAAAATGATTGACTGGCCGCCCCAGAAGGAGAGGAGGCGAGAACCTTTAATGTCGCGCGACAGGGCGGGAAATAAGATTCGATCTGGGGTACTTGGAACCAAAATATCCGAGGAGCGTTGTTGTTCTGATGTACAGTACCGCAGTTGTTGCGCTTTCAATTAAACGTTACTCCCCCGCCATTTAAAAGTCTACCACCGTCGTAACGTGTCATCAGGACCAAACAAATTTATATTATTTTGTTTTTGCATCTTTCGGATACTTTCGCTAATTTTGCGATACATCTAAAACTGCTGAAAAATATGAAGAAAAAAAGAACGCAGAACTTCGCGTAGCCTTAACTGCAAAAGAATCCCAATATTTATTTTAGAAGCATGTTTTAAGTAGGTTATTGCTTTACTAATAGATTTATTGGCAAAAGCAAGAAAAGGCTATGGCAGTAATTAAACTTCAAGGATAAAATGTAATCACATACAACAATCAGTGATTGGTGCACACCAGAGCAACTGTTTAGACAAAAACGTTACGGAGAAGGTTTTCGCTTTTGGCACCTTTCTCGACGTCTTTGAAAGTGGACAACTTGATCAGCGGAAACCATGACACATTTATTCACATCATGTGTCACTAAATGACTGCTGAAAAACTGTTAAGTAGCCGCTGGGAGCACACCAGTGCTCGCGATCCTGTCCACGTAATTGCAGACGTCCTGGTAGGTGGCAGCATTGCCGCTGGTGAATGAGGCAAAGGCATCCATTTCTGCGTGGAGCCTCTCGTTTCTTGCCGAGACGGAGCTTGATGTAGGTCTTGCCACAGCGAGCGGATCAAGCAGAAGAGCTTGAATTCGATTCTGTGCGGCATGCTGCGCAACCTGAAGGAACTGAATAAATTCAGTCAGGTCGGGATGGCGACTTGAAAGGCGACTATGCAGGCCGTTGTGCCACCCCTCAACTACGTTCGTCGTCCTTGGACCCCGATTTCCAAACTGTCCCCAAATCTCTCTGATAATGCTATGGGATAGCCAGAAGTTCCTGAAGTACCGGATGAACTGGTCCAGGCGAGCGGCATTCAGCTGGGGTAGATTTGGTTTCGCTGCAAGAAGGTCACTTGAAAACAGCACGCGGCAGTGGTCCGGAACGAAAAGCAGGTGACGAATTCGGACGAACCTTTTGTTCACCTCAGGGTCGTCACGGCAAAGAGCCCTGAGCCCCAGTTCGTCGCGCTTGGTGTTAATGGCTTTCGCAAAGTGAAATGCGCAGCCACGTACCTGGGAGTAAAACGAGCGAAAACATCTATTGGAGCCCACACATGTGTGGTCACAGTTGCAACAAACGGGTAACTGAATCCTAGATATAGTACTCTGCCACCTTTGGCTTCATTTATCTTTTATAGATAAAAACGCCATACTTAAGTCGTTCACTTACTCAAAAACAATACTTCAGAAATTTTCTTACCTTCGGAAATCGCGCGGTGGTCTTGAAGACGTTCATCACAGCCTGGATAGCTGCGGACTCGTAGTCGAAGTGCCACGTGGTGGAGGTTGAGAGGCCACCGACTCCCTCGAACTTGGTCTCAAGTGAAGTCTTTAAGGTGCCGAAAACAACCTCGTAGGCCTGAACGTCGCATGACTGCATCAGAGCGTAAACGATGGGATGCGCTTCCCGTTTAACAATGGCATGTGCAGTGTAGAATTGCCATGGGCTGTGAAATTCACTGGGGTTATATTTAAAATTGCCGTCCGCAAGAATGAATTCAACATTGAGAATCACTTCCAGGTCTTTTTCAGCATAAAAAAGCAGGAGCCGTCTCCTTTCCGTCTTCACTTCCAGTTGCAAGAACTCTTGGAAGTCGTTGGTGACGCGAAGCTCCGGGAGAATAGCGTTCAATGCGTTGCCCTTTAGTCTGTTGTGATGGCGATTGCGTGAGAGGGCTCCTCTTGGACGTAAATCCATATGCACTGTTCATGTTGGCTTGTATGCCATCTTGGACTTCATCTCCGTACTCACGAAACCTTTCCTGGATGGACGTCACAGCCTCGTCGAATGCCTCACGGGGCCTCTTGCGGCTGGTACGTACATCCGTACAGACTTCGTACATGAATCGCTTCGCAAGCACTGCCGTCGCATCGGAGTCCTTCTCTGGGCTGCAGCTGTGCGGAGTCATGGGATTATCAGGATCGGACACCATAACTCCGCTGTTAAGCGTGAGGTGCGCTACTGGACATTTTTCCCCGGCCACCGTGTGCTTGCTGAGATGAAAGCATTTGATGCTTCGATAGTACTCGATGCTAGGATTTTTTAGGTTGGTACTCTTGGACGAAAATTCAAGAACCCCGTTGGGCCAGCGAGGGCTTTTCTACTGTATGACTGGCTTGCTTGAGCGCTTGTGAGAAGGCACTAACGTTGGGACACCCAGGTGCCCAGGATTCATCTCGCTGGCTCCGCGAGTACGCTGCAGCCTGTAATCAAAACGCGACACATACAATCAGACGAGGGGCACTTGAAACTTCGAATTACACTTGAGAAACTTGAGCCTCTCATGTGTCTTGAAATTTTCAAATTCCAAGACCTTACTTCTCTGCATAAATAGCTAACAGTGATTATTTGTATACAGCTCAAAGTACATAGGCGTAATAACTACAATATTTTAAATGCAATTACAGTACTTTGGTGTCGCAGTAGATACATATTAATAATCGACCGATAAAAACAACACTCACCGTATTTGCGTGTCAGTGATTTGGACAAGACGAAGCTCAGGGTTCTGACAGAGGGAGGTGGCGAAATAGCAGTCCTTTATATAGCCATGTGAGATGTCGACCCGGAACAAGCATTGTTTGTAAGTGGATGGTTTCGTTTGTCTGCGGTCTGAGGTTTGAACCCACTCAGGTGGTGTTGTACCATTGTTATATTGAACGAAGAACAAAAGCGAACCTTCCTACACTGTTAGCAAGTCCCGTGTATTTGGCGAATATTTGGGGTGAAAAACACGCTATTTACACAAATTACCATAAATTTACACGATGAGTAACGGATAATTCGTTCAGAAATCATGCGAGGTTGTAAAAAACGTGTTTTGGTTCGGTCGTACACGCATGACCATGTAGCCGACCTCGATAACACGCATCGCCCCCGGCGACGACCTCGGCATTGCCGGCTATTGAAGCACCGGAATGCTTGGGGAAACACTTGGAAAGGACCGTCGAGACAAATGCCGCGGAAAGAAACATGTCTCGGAGACAGATATGCACCAAAAGCAATTGCGCCATGTCGCAGGACGTTCGCGAAACCCACGCTTACGACGCTTATCGTGCTCGCCCCCATCTTCTGGTCGATGGCAATGCGGGTTCCCTCATGTCGCCCATGTTTGTATTTAGTTTAGGGGTCCTGATAACAGTTTCTTAGACACCACAAATAAAGTTATGGGTCTAATTATTCGTTCCAAACAGTTAAAATGGATATAAAAAGCGTGTCCTCGATGTGAACACGTGACATTGCAGTTGGTTTCGTTTTTGCTTTAACCTTCAACTGCAAGCGATCTGGCCACGGCGCAAGCGCAACGCCGATGCACGCTGGAAGCAAGCGCCGGTTGGCTTTCGTTGTTTTTGTTTGACCGGAGAAAATCTGGCAAGTACGCATGGCGCCGCTACTGTTTTGGTTTGACGGGACGCGAGGAGCTTCGCATAGAGTTTCGGAGAGTTGAAGACGTGACCGGAGAAGTGCCCCTGTGATGTTCCTGGAAGACGGAAAGTAGCATTCGTAATCGGCGTGTGTGCTTTCAAAGCGAAGGGAGTCACAGGGTCCACGAGTTCGCAACCACAAGCCAAGGTTCACGACAGCGCGGCGTTGACTTCGGCGATCTCGTTCTGTTTGGTGCAACCCGGCGATGCGAAAAAGAGCTGAAACATTCGTCGTGTGTGGTGCGGTGCTTTGTATTCCGGGTCTGTTTGAACCACGTTTTTAACACGGAGCGCAAATTGTTTGTTGCGTGGTGGAGGTTAAACGGGTACAGTCCCGTCGTCGTCAGCTGATCCGGTCCAGCTGGTCCGGGAGGACGCAGCGAGCGTTTTTAAAAGTAAATCTTCCTTCGTTCCGTTTCAAACTGTGGAAGTATCCCGACACATACCGTGAGTAAGAAGCAGCGGGCGTTTTCAACAAAATTACGTTGTTTTAATTGAATAATGACTCCGGATTGTTGTCTTAAATCTGCCGTTTTTTATGCTTCGTGTTGGACTGCGTTTGCATAGCGACGCACACCACTCGAGTAGATGATTCGGTCCTGCAACGAGTTTGTTGCGCCAATCATGCGGCGTGAATAAATTAGGGCAAGGTTTCCTACCTGCCCACAGATGCATGTACTGAGACCATTCTTTATGTTGTGAACGTAGTGCTCTTTTTTTATTTTGGAAGACGCGTTGGTGTATTTATTATGGTACAATCACTTGAGAGTTGAGAAATTGCAAAGCGAGCAAGCTTTCTCAACTTTGTCTCTTTCTCTCTGGCACTGCCCTGTTTCAATTTCAGTAGGCATATATACTAGCAGGTACAAACTGCTCTAAAGCAGGTAAAAAACTGGAAGCTTAGGACGGTGCGGACTCCGTGTTTCGCGCTTTTCGCAAGGTGACAGGGTAAATGCTTTTGTGAGATATGCGGAATATGCAAGCGATTTTGTTATGCCCGTCGTTTGCGTCTCTCCAGCAAAACGAATAAGATTATCTACTACAAAGGCGCAATCACAAGCCAAGATTTAAGATAGCAGTCGTTTGCTTCGGTGATCCGTGTAGCTGTATTTTACCCTGCTCTCTGCAACATCGTGTCATGACGAAGAGCTGGAACGGTCACGGTTTGTGCTGGCCTCCCGGTTGACAGAAACCCGCGTCGCCCGCATCGGCACCGAGTGCGCTTGGGCTGTTGATGCTCCAGCCTTTCATCCGCGGCTTGTCGCCAGCTCATCCTGCTGCTCAACGGTGAGGAAGCGGCGAGAGTAACCTCGGAAGTGAATGTAAATCCTCGTTCATTCAGTTGTCCGGTGTCAAAGTGTGGAAGATGTCCAACGTGTACTGAGGGCGGGAACTACGAGCGTTTTGCCTTGCTTTTATAACCGAAACCAGACCAACGAGATAACTGCCTTGCGTACTCTAAAATGACGGAAGCAATAAGTTTCAACAGGTCGAGTACGTCACCGGGGATGTAGGCGAGACGGTGCACACTGTTTAAACGCTTGCAGTATCCACAAGTGGTACCAGGAAAGCGACGTCAACAGGGAAGGAGCTCGCGATTCAGCGTAATGCACTGCTACGGGCCCGTGTATCTTCAAAGTTCGGGGTGGTGGCAGTATAAAAAAAAGACGCATCAGCGCCCCACACCAGTGTTCACGAATAACACCGGTCACAAACTCCGAAGCCCCACCGCTCTTCTCGACACCGACACGACATACGACAACAAGCTGCATCAAAACGCCCCAAAAGTGAAGGCGTCTGCTCCCGTACTGCAACTGCTGCAACTAGCGGAAGTGAAGTGTTGGGGGATGTCCGGATGTCGTTCACAAAAATATATAAAAAAATGCTTTGCGCAAGGATCATTTTCATTTATTATTGTATACGTAATGACAAAATCCCAATAATTTGTTTTCCTATGTGATTCAAGCTAGTCGGACTGCTCATAACACTGGTCAAGCAAGAAAATAACAAAAATTTGAACTTTTTCATAACCGGTTTGAGATTTATTGTTAACATATCGTTATTTATTGCAACGGACTAACATTATAGATTTTGCCTCCATACTTTTTAAATGCAAACAGTTCTAACACACGGCTGTCCATTGCGCCGTGTTTTGTGTATTCTTCTATAAATCTGTAATGGTCAGCGACCAAAGAGCTTACCCTCACATGTCAAGCTTATATGCGCCGCGGGGAGAAATGGATATCGAGTAGGAAGTGTCAGGCGTAGTGTCGGTTGTTGTGTTTGTGTACATGTCGGTGCTGTGTAGCTGTGCGCTGTGTTGCCTGCGTTGTATGTAGGGTTGCTGTGTGGTCGTGGTCGTTCGCAGTGCAAACAGACTCGCCTTTTTTTAAAAACAGGCCGCTAGAAATCTCGATAGGTGGCGCAAGTTACCGCCCGATTCTAAATAGTTTGCTGAAGTTAATTAGCCATGTAAGTTCGGCATTCGTTTTTTTTTTTTTTTGTTTAGCGGTTTGTTGAAGCTACCGACACAGCCGACCGCCGACAACGCACGTACGTACCTTTGCAAGAAGCGACGTCCGCCGCTTGGAGACTTTACTGTGTATAAAAAACATCGAACGAGAACTAACGCGCCCTGTGTGCTTTCAATTCGGCTGAAAGGCGCGCGGCTCGCTGGGCTCGTCGTTTTGCGGAAGGCAGACACGGTGTAGCGTGTTAAGTTTACACAGCACCTCATGTGAAGACGATAGCATGCGATAGCTTGCGATGCCGATCCCTCTTCCTAGAAGCAACTGGAGGCTTCCTTCGAGCAAAACGTCGCCACAGAAAGTCTCATCGACCCCGACGGGTACGAAAACACTTGACTGCGGCGGTAGGTTCACGTGGTTTGCGAGAACTCGTACCGCGGATGACGTCATTTTGGGGTCCTCCTGTGGTGGAGCAGGTTTTCGAAGCGTCAGCCGATTTGCTCCGAGGTCGATGACGGCGCCATACTCGCAGAGAAAGTCCATTCCGAGGATAATGTCCCTCGAACAGTCTTGCAGAACGACGAACTTGACAGGGCACGTCTCACCGTGGATCTCGACGCGAGCAGTGCATCTCCCGACCGGTGTGATGAGGTGCCCTCCGGCGGTTCGTATCTGAGGTCCATCCCACGGCGTCGTGACTTTCCGAAGGCGGCGGGAGAGCCTCCCACTCAAGACTGAGTAGTCTGCTCCAGTGTCGACGAGCGCTGATGCGTCGTGGCCGTCGATGACGATGTTTACGTTATTGGACACTGTTGCAGGGGCGTGGTTTCGACCTCCGGTAGCGTTCGTTAACTTGTGTCCAGTATTGTATGTTTTTCTGCCATTCCCCGTCCGGCAAGGGGGCCACGGTTCTTGTTTACCAGCGATGAATCACTTCCGCGTTTGTCGTTCTGGATGAACCAAGATTCCAGCAGCTTCCTCGGTCCCCACCTTTTATCCCCCTCCAGGGTCGATGCCTTGTCAATGTCAAATTGATGTCCTGACGTCCATGCGGGTCGACGAGTTCGGACTTTGTAGCCGAGCCAAATCCGAAAAAAAAAACGAATCCACGAACGATGGATACTGCCGGCGCTTCCGCTAGCACGTCAAGCACCACTGAAGGAAAAGTGAGTAGCATATCGGAAAAAAATCCAGCGATGGACGCAGACAATTAGGCCTCATTCACACAGCCGGCGTCTCGCCCCGTCCCGGCGAAAGCGCCGTGGGCGCCGTGCCAAAAACGGGACGGTGCGGGGACGGAGGAATGTTCGGACCAGCGGCGGGCGGAGCTGCCGGCGATGCTGGCGGCTGTGCCCCCTTAGGTGCTTCGGTTTTTAGAATGTGGCGGGAGATGGAAAACTCGACGCTGAATTGCTAATGGTGATGGTGATGATGTTGACTTTCAACTGAAGCGCCACTTTATGGTCAACACCCAAACTATTTTCGCGAGTTTAAACGTCATCGTTGTTGCACGTGAAGCGGTACGTGTGAACGAGCACATTTCGCGAAACTGGAGTGTCGCGAAACTGTTGCGCGCCTAAAAGATTCCTCGTGTGAACAGACCATAACAGTGAAATCCTTCTTTTTTCAACTTCATCGTGGGGCGCTACCTGTTCAGCCCTGGCTTCAAGAAAGGAGTATATTTGTGCACTGGTCGGTCCATTATCTTTTTTGCAGGAAGCCCGAATCTGTAGAACATATTTTTCTCGACTGCTGGGACACAGTGTTTCACTGGGATATCATGCTGCGTACTTTAAAAAAGAGCCTCCCAGTGTCGGCGTATGGCACCCGGTTTCTCTGTGTGTAACGGGACGGGGGCGTGTCCTATGACACGATAATGATCTTGGCCCTGTATAAAATGTGCAAATGGAAGATGGCCGTTCGCCATGCTAACTTGGACGCTCGCCCAGTTCGAGATTACTTTATTGAGAGTATTGTTAACCTACGGGAAGTGTACAGAGCGCTCAGCAAGCAGCCTGACTGGCTGCCAGCTCTGGACAGACTGGTCGCACTGAGGGCTTTTTAACCTAATCGCGCCGGATAGTGCTTGCCGGACACTTTTGATCGTTCGTTAACTTGTGTCCAGTATTGTATGTTTTTCTGCCAAGCAGTTAAAAAAAAAAAAAACTTGGTTACCTTTGTTGGTACAGCGCTCCCCCTGCAATGGAGAGGTCCTTGGTTCGATACCCGGACCAGGCGGATTTTTTTGTTCGCGCACAAGTCACCTAGCTGTGTTTGGAGATTTGTGTTTGTACTTTGTCCCTCTTGTTCGTCTTCTCCAGGGATTATTTTCGTCATTCTGGTCCAGCTCGCTTGCAACTTTGCATTTAATAGCATTATAATATATTGCATATTTTTGCACGCGTACAGTCATGCACAACTTCAGTGTCAGCGCAGTAAATGTCACCTGGAAGCATTCGTTTTTTTTTTCTCCTAAATGAAAATTTAAACATCTAGTATATTTCGTGTTTATTTTATAAAATGTGACAAAAATATTGTGCGAACATTTTAGAAAAATGGAGAATAGAAAACGTCTGTACTGCTTCCAAATTTTTCAAATTTCCTCGTTGTGACGTGGATTCACCGTAGGGGAAAAACAAGTTCGTCCTAACATCCATAGGTGTCGCTTAGGCTTCAGAAAAAATCACATTTCTTGGCTGGGTTCATCTCAGACCCCAAAGGACAGTTGAAGGCATCCGCGAACGGCTGAAAGTTTTTCATAAATTCATTGCACCGGTCCTGAATATCGGTTTGGCATGTGTTGGGGCAGACCGTAATAAAAAAGACCTGTTCCGGGCTGTAGTGCTCTAGAAATTTCAAACGAACGTCGTTCCGCACTGCGACGGCTTTTTCATAAGCCGCATGTGTAATATCCAGAGCAGGTAAGTGTGGAAAGACGCTGTTCTTGATATGAGGAGGAGGACATGCCTTGCTTTTTCTTAAAGACCCACAGAACGCCTTTTCAACGTAGGTCCGTTCCGTGTGGGACGACTGGGACGCGTTGGCGAGCAAATCGTGTGCGTCGATGCAAACACCGTGCGGGTCAAAAGAACGGACGAGCAAGTCCGAGTACCAAAATCCAAGCCCTCCGTATAACATTGATTTTGTGCCCTTCAAGTAGTACAGTGGCGGTGTTAAGATTGTCAGGTGCATCAAGATGGAGTTCAGGTAATAATTATACTCAAATAAGCGGTGACTCTCCAGTTTCGAGAAAGATGATAGCCGATATCTTGTTCTTGACAGGTAACGTCGCATTGCGATACGGGTTTTGATCCAGAAATCGAGAAATGAATTTGCCTTGTTCGGAAATTCCTTGTACATTTCCGTGACACTCTCCGAACTTAAACCTTTTTCGAGCCACACTTCTGTAACCACATTCTTGATTTTTGTTATGATCTTTTTTCGCACGTCCTCCTCTATCCACTTCGAAGACGAAACCCTGGCAATGGATGCCTCCTCTATTTTTCCGAGCAAATTGTTCACGCTTCTCGTCGTTTCTCTTCCAATACTTTCTTGCGAAGGTACTCGTTAAAAGGGGGTAGTACACAGACTCCACACCTCTCGCGCACAAGTCAACTCTCTTCTGGGCCGCCTCGCCTCGGCTGCCATAGAAGCCCACCAGCGCTTCCGATATTGCAATAATGCCACCGAACTGAGCGAACCACCAGCTTATGTGGGCTATTAACTGATCGTTACTGAAGCGTTCCAAAATTCTGCTCATTCTGTCGAAGTGCCTTTTATCGGTGATATAGACCGTTACGTCCGCGTGCAGTGGAAGGGCGGTTTCAAACACCTTTCTTAATCCTGTCAGCCAGTCTTGATATCGCAGCAAATCTTTTATTGACGTCACGTGAGGCTCCCATGTAATCGGTTCTCTTTGGAGCTCGCTCACAACCTGCTCTTGCAGATGGAAATCGTGCTTGGCTTGGATTGCGTAAAGTGAGGCATCCTTTTCTTGCGCAAGCAGGCTGAACACGAAGCTCCAGTAGATGGCGTAGGCTGTCACGCTGTAATGGGCCACACTTCGATGTTGCAGGTGCCAAATGCGCGTAAGCGCTGATGGACTGATCTGTATAGCCCTGGGACGGGAATCATAAGTCGGCAAGATATGAACCCTGAACCAAAAGGGAACGAGCCAGTTGACATCAAGGTCTATAAGCACGTGAAGAGCGCTGACGTTCGCCGGAGATTTGTCGGGCCAGGACAGCCCTCTCTGAGTCATAAAGTTCCGCAAAGATGACAGCACCTCCCTTTGGTCCTCGTGTGTCCTATTCATGCACGATGCGAATTCTGCTTTTGCCTTGTTGCCGGCCTCGATGACTGAAGCGTTGAAGTTATCGCTTTGTAGTGCGCTGGTGATTTCTTTCAACCATTTTTGGATGACACCATCTGTTACGCTTCCTGCGGCGATATTCTGATTATTTTCTGTCCAGGCCGAGCAGACAAAAGCGCTGAAGTTCTTGCAAGGATTCAGGTTGCGATTTAGCATCTGGGTGATTCTGTAGGCATAATCGAGGCAGTCTTCGGTGTCACACACATCAGAGTGCGAGACTGAGCGTGATTGGTGGAGTCTGAAGATAAGTACCATGATGATTAAAGTTAAGGCAACCAGAGTTAAGAAAAACATAATTCTAGTAATCAGCATTTCGTGCCATGACAGTTTGTTCGGTGATCTTGCCGCCTGCGGGGAGTCCACCTTTGAAATTGAAACGAGAAGAAAAACATTACTGAATTAGCTGGCACACCTCATTACTGTGGACAACTTTGTGATTAATTAAGAAATTATTTTGTAGCCGTATTCCTTCGGGCATACGACCCTAATTAAGATTGCAACTAGGGACGGGTAAAAATTGTGAGTAGCATAATAACTAAAATCTACCGTCTAAAACTTTTTTTAAGTAAACGTATTAATAAGATTATTATATCTTATCGCATCAAATGACTTAGCAAATCGAACGATTTGAAGTTTAAAGTTTATTGGGATTTTCACGGGCCAAGAACGGTAGGGACGTAGTGGCAAAAGGCATTTCTGCCTGACTAGGTATCTACCCCCTTCGGCATACAGAAGTGAACAAGGTGGCAAAGTATACAGCTATGTAGCATTAGTTTCTGCTTCAATATACATGCCTGTGTAAGCAAAATACGTTTTTAATTTACATTTGACGTTTATATTTGTATTTGTTAAATACAGGCAAAGTACATCAAAAGTGATATTTGAACCCCCGGACTTCAGCAAAACTACGAGATGTAGTAACTCATTGAAGAGACAAAAGAGCAGTCGTCACGAGATTGTGTACTCTCTGTTTTGCAAATCGATGGTTGCTGCCTCGGGATTTCCTTCAAAGAAATGTGCACCTTCGTGCCTGGCCTAATAGACGTCCTAGTATGACACGTTACGGCGCGTTACGAGTTACGTTGATTTTGTGATACAGTGTGGTAGAGAATTTGAGAGAGAACTATACAAGGGTGGTTTCATCTCAACTCAGGCACGGACTTGGGGTCGAATTTTAAATTTTGATGAATAAAATATATGTTTTGGGAAAGACCCCTTCTGTTACAGGGAGTGCAAGCTGCAAGTTCGGGCGATTTGTTTTCTCTAATTTATGGACATTTTAAGCAGCCGAGGTGCAAACTCACCTTTTTTCTCGCCTATCGGAGAAGTTATGTGTCACATCCTTTCTACGTTTTGAATTTTTTTGGAATTGCATTCTAACTTTTAAGGCCACTCTCAAAATAGAGATTATTTATGATCAATCATTTTATTGTGATTATTTATATTCACTTTTGTTATGAATAGTGTCAAAGTGTGTCCCTGCGACAATATTTGTCAAAGTTTGATAAATTCTTCCGTGTAACCTATTTGAGATATCACAACATATTTAGTATTTTCAAAAGGCTAAGAGTATACACTTTCCGTTGATAACAAATTTAGCGTTGCGTGTAAAGGAAAAAAAAACGCAGTGCATTCTCGTAATCAAGACCATTTCAAAATATTGGCAAGTTGGAGGTTGGATTTCTGAAATAAAAACCACATTTTATTTGGCTGTTTCTTTTTTTTTTTCTCTGGCTAGCTATTTCAGTACTTTATAATGTAATATAAATGCAAAGGCAAGGCTTGTGAGAGTGAGAGCTCGAATACTAAAAGCCACTGCACCGCGGTTACAAATCACCGCGTACTGAGTTCGTGTCCTAGATCAACGCCAGTGCGGCGCTAATATTTGATGATACCTTTTATGCACTCTGTGCGCAGACATCTACACGCGCCATCAGTGTGTTTGATCTCACTTCAGAGCTTATCTTAGTCAAGGAACGCGGGAAAAATCCGAACAAATACAAGGAACACATTCCCCATGGTATAGTGCCGTTTCAAAGGCTGTTTCATAGAGAAGGTTCTAGGTCATGCCTTGCTTACGAGATGTCGGATGTCTCCGATGTCCTCCTGTTTCTTGGTGACTCTCGCCGATCGTGAACTCCGAGCTTTCGAGGCAATCTGCTGGACGTCTGGTGTGAGGATTTGCTGCCCTTCGGCTGCTTCTTTGGTATCCGCCTGATCGTGTCCTCCGGGAACTTCTAAGCTGGTTCCGGATGGAGCTGTGATTGCGCCTGGTTGGTCACGGTATTCGCCTCCTTGTAATTTCTTCGCATTGAGCTTTGGCTTCTGCAGATATAAATTTAACGCGTCGCCAATTCAGCTAAAGTCCTAAATTAATTCAACTATAAAAGCAACTAAAAACACTCTACAAACATTGGTTGTCAATATAAGCACAACTAAACCCGAGCTCAAAATACAAAAAAATAGCCTAGTGTTGTTGAAACAAACCAGAAAGCTAATCGAAACAGAAAAGAGAAACTGAGTTTTCAGAATTTTTATCTATTACTTAATGGCACGACATTTCGTGTGAGTTCAAAGCTGTATTTTGTGGAGCAAATGTGACGCTTAAAATAAAAGAAGAAAAGTTCGGGCGGATACTTCCGTTATGTCTACCTGGTGCATCTTGAAATGGCAGTCATCGGCTACGAAACCGTTTCAATCGCACAAACTAAGAGAGAGAAAAAATCATGGCGAGGCGGTTACGTTTACTAAGCTACCGTCTTCATTAATCTACAACCAAGACCGACACAAAAATTTAGCTTGCCAATGGAGGTGCCTAAGGGCTACTCCCAAGGAGGTCCCTCGCATTGTAGTACCTGACTTCGACACCAAAGGAGCACAAGGAGGGTACAAAAACAGGGTGTCAACCTCAAGGAATTCTTTGCAATGTTCAAAGTCAGAGTGCCCAGTCAGAGCTTCACTCCTTTTCGCCACTAAATGAACCCCAGCGGATGCTACCAGCAACTCCAGCGAATTCGGCTCCTTCAGCTTCTCAAGTGACTGCGCGATCCGGGAATCGCTGCATACCTTCCGGAGGCCATGGCACACTCAGAGAGCCCTAGAGTGAATCCGATGGCTTGTAGCATCCGCTCCGGTTCATTGTAGAACAAAGCAGATTGCCGTCAAAGCTAGGAGTTTGAGCCGATAAATGCTGATTTGTTTCGGGAGCTAGAACGCAAAACATGAACGCATTGCGGCACAACATATCCCAACGTGCCAATGTTATTTCTATACACCGGTACGCACTTTTAGTCTTGGTCAGGTTAAGAACCCAGTAGATGGTCCGCCTTCACCACGCGCTCCCTGCCTTACAACTCTAATTGGCTGCGCTCTCAAAAAAGTGTTACTTAAAGGACGACTCCAGCCGGATATAGTGCCGAAGTTCCTACGTTCACCAAAGTGAGGAGCCGCAGCATCTCATCTTCTACATAAATTCAAAACTTACGACATGTTCCTGGTTGTTTTTACCGCCATATTCCAACGCGCTGCTGTAGAAGACGACCTCAGTCAGCATACGGTTAACATTTCCTGTGCCCCTGAGCCAATCGTAAAGCCCCTCGCCCGAAGGGATTGCGTATTCCGCAGCGCCAGCGTATGAATTTCTGCCCGTGCCTGCCGAAACGGTTTCCTCTGCTCCCTGCTCTCGTGGCGCGCTACGTGGAAGCGGGAAGGCGCGGATGGCTCGGACTCTCGGACCGCCGACGGCGCCGACGCCAAGTTGGCAAAGTCGACACGTCAGATCTGGGGGATCTTTTTTGCCGTCCACGTGTCCTACAAGGCCGTTCAATCGGAGCATGCTATAGGTCCAAGCAACGTTGTGGTTTTCGCTCGAAGCACGCACATTCATTTAGGATTTCAGTGATCAGAAATATGCGGAGGAGTGGCACCCCGGATTTGCGTTAACTGTAGGTGCGGTTTAGCTGCATTCTGTGACTTTTATTTGTCTGTGGATATGTTTAATCCTAAGGTAGAAAAAACGAGATCAATGAAGTTGCCCTCGAACGTCGAAGGGGCACTGACACGTCAGTCTCTTCTTTTGTTTTAGTTTTTATTCGAAACGACTGAAAAGATGCCTGCACATTACCCTCGAAAACTCGAAACTTGAGAATTCAGTATTTGCGAAGTGAAAAAAGCAATTTCCAAATGGCGAACTTAAAGTTTCCGCGCGATCCGCGCCACTGCAGTGACGTCAAATATTGAGCCGTCCTGCGAGTCGAGTTTCTCTGACGCCTCCGAGGTGTCGTGCTCGCCGGCGTCCCGCGAATGGCCAGCTGCGAGAAGACGACGCTTGACTTTCGAGTTTGAAGTTATTTTAGGGCCCTTTCAGCGATCTCAAGTTCTTTGAAACGGCGCGAAGTTGAAGACTACGAGCTGTGGACTTTTTTGAGCGACGTGAGGGGCCACGTCGCGCCGGTTCCGCCTGAAACGCTGCCCCGCAGGAGTCACAACCAAAACTACGATACAGACACCAAACCCAGCTGTTTCTGCCGTTTGACGATTTCCCTTTCAAAGTCTGAGAGGCCGTTGGGCACCTAAAAAAGACCGTCCGATTTTCTGACTGACCGATTATCCTCTGCTACAGGTTTGGAGAGCCGCCATGTTCTCCGAGGATAAAAATCCAGGAGGCGCCACCACGCCGGACTCTTTTGGGTTTTCGGTATTTTTGATATTTCAAAACGAAGGGCCATATATATATATAAAATTGAGAAGAAAAAAACCATTAGTGAATACAGCAACAACGGACGATTTAATCTTCGACGTTTCGGCCGGAGTCCGGCCTTCGTCAGGAAGAACTTTTACAGATGAACGCGGGTGGTATTTATTCAATGCTACGGTCGAGTCCAAATTTCGGAGGGGTGACGGTTGAAGCTTTGGAGAGAGGGAAGCGTAGGGCAGTTCTTATCCGGGTGAAGAAGCTTGACGGTCGGTGCCAAGTTTCAACGACGGCGGGATGACGGTTGTAGCTTCTTGGGAGGGGGCGCAGGGTGACTTTGTGTCCGGGCCGGCAGCGGTGACCTCTATAGACGATAACGTACAATAGACGAAAGTTACACGCGCAAACTAATGTGCTGTCTCCGAAAAAAAAAAAAAAAGAAGGGGCGGCACGGTCACTTGTGTGGATGCAGGCATGCATGAGTCAAACCTGGAACGGAACAATGTTAAACCTAGAAGTAAAAAGAAATAAAGTGGATATCAGAACCTGGAAATAAAAGAAAAGTTAATGGTACAGTTCCGGCCCCAAACACAATACCACTGTTAACAACAAAATTAAAAAAAAAAAGTGTTTTCTGATCGCTGGTGCTATTCGTGCTATCCGCTTGTTTGTGGAGTTCCACAAACAACCGGATACCCCAGATGGCAATCCCGGACAAAAGCTCACCGGACAAAAGCTCACCGGACAGAAGCTCACCGGACAAAAGCTCACCCATTCTTTCACAGACCCGGACAAAAGCTCACCCATATTTTCGGAGACCCGGACAAATGCTCACCACGAGAAAATTTCATGTTGATCTTAACACGAGTGCGGAAAACTTAGGTGCATGCGTGCGACACAAAAAGGCAACGATAGATTAAATATGACAGGCGCATGGTTTGTTGATTTTAATAGAAACAAGTTTATTTATCGATTGGTTAGAAGCGAATGCAGTCCCCCACTAGCTCCATCAGTCTTGGTAGATCTCGATGTACATGCAAGCCCTCGCAAATATTTCTAAGACGATTCTGCAGGTGCAGAGTAATTTTTCACAAACGCTTTACAGTGGGCTCACCTCTCCGGGCTTTTGTCAATGACGTGGGAACGAGCGCCTGATTTTGCTGTAGGCATTCAATCAGCCTCAAGAGGCTTGGATGGGCGTGGCCGACGAGCTTCTGGAACCCGGTACTCTATCTTTCGCAGGTGTTCATCCGGTTTTTATCTTGAAGAGTGGCGTCGTACATATTCCACCGTACCGGGGGAAACTCCGGTCGCCTTTGGCGCAGAGTCAGGCGAAGGGAAGAATTTGCTCTGGGTGCCGCCGCAGATGGAACAGAAGCATAACGGAAGCGGCCTTTGACATACGTGCAATCAAAGTAGTCCAGCAGGTAGCCGATGTCACCGGTAGACTTTTCTCTGGTGGTTAGTTCTTGTGGAACAAGCTGTGGTGGAAGGAACCCGAGCCTATCTAAAATCCCGCACAATTTTCTAAATTGGTCATCTGTCTTGTACTTTTCCAATAGGCCAAACTCCCGTTCTTTCAAAGTATTTTTTAAAAAAATTCGCAACTCAATGGTAGATGAGGTACGAGTTCTGCTAAAAATGGTCCAATCAGTCAGTCAGAGTATTGGGAGGAGGAAATCAAAGGAAGTGTTGCTGAGCCGGAAGCTCAATATGTCACCTTTGTTTTGTGGTAGGGGTCCATTGCGTCCGCACTTTATTTCAGCCCGTGTTTCGCCCGGGTAGGAAAAAAAAAAAGGAAATCGAGGTGAGCTTTTGCCCGGGTCTGTCAAAAAACGGGTGACCTTTTGTCCGGGTCTGTCAAAAAACGGGTGAGCTTTTGTCCAGTGAGCTTTTGTCCGGTGAGCTTCTGTCCGGTGAGCTTTTGTCCGGTGAGCTTTTGTCCGGTTACCCCTAGATGGACACGTCGTCGCTACTCTAGCGAGGCTTGTCTTAGAACTAAACACGTTCGAATTTAACAATAAATACTTTAGGCAGGTTAGCGGAACCGCGATGGGCACCAAAATGGCCCCAAACTATGCCAACATATTCATGGGGAAATTAGAATCTCAGCTCCTTTCTGAATGTCCCGTAAAGCCGCTAATATACAAAAGGTTTATAGATGATATATTTATTGTATGGTCGTACACTGAGGAGGAGCTGGTGGACTTCATAGGTCGATACAATGCTGCTCATCCGAGCATCCGCTTTACACATTCGTACTCTCAAACCGAAATAAACTTCCTAGACGTCAACGTTAAGATAGACGAAAGTAAACTCGCCACGAGCCTGTACCGTAAGCCAACAGATCGGCAGCAATACCTTCATTATCAAAGCGACCACCCACACCATTGCAAGAACAGCATTCCCTATAGCCAAGCTCATCGTTTCAAACGAATTTGTTCAAAAGATACAGATTTCGATCCGAGCAGTCAAAATTTAAAATCAGTGCTAGAGAAACAAAAGTATCCACACTGTATAATCGACGATGCAATCAGAAAAGCCAAACAACTGAACCGCGCAGACCTCATCAGCCCGCGCCCCACGCAAAGCGACACACAACGCACAAATCTATGTCTAACTTATAGCATAA